TGACGAGAAAATACTTGATAAAGTTTGGCAGACTTATCCCTTCGTGCCTCGTTTGTGAGAGTTCTCGCCTGAAACTTTCGGAATAACAGCGAAACTGCGGCTGAATAAATTAAAATATCACAGCAAATTTCCCTCATTCCAAGCAGCTAATTCCCACCAGCTGGGAGAATAATTTCAATAGCTATACAGCTTTGAACTTTTTGCACACGTCTTTTCGTTGGCTGTCGCTGCAAAAACCATAATGAGTTTCTTCAACTAACCAATGAACATCGATGAAATATCGATATGGAGTCGTGGTGAAAACTTTCACCCTTAATTGCCTTTTTCAATTAACATCCCCTGAGATGTTTAAAATATTCAGCGAAAGAGGAATTCCATTTCATTCGTCTTCGTTCACTGCGTAGACAACAAAATCGATTCATCTCCTGTCTTGTGTTAACTGAAAGGGAAAAATGCTTTTAAATTTGTTAACGGTCGCTGGCAGAGAACAAAGAAATGCGGTATAGGAATGATTGATACGATTATCCTAATTTTCAGAAATCAATACTAGAATAATCGAGGAAGTGTAGAGTATTTCAACCATTCACTTGCCTGTCACTCTCCCATAGATGCTTCTATAGCACTCACGGTGTCTATAGAGAGAAATAGGATAATACATTGATTTTTCAATTACTCTGAATATCTGACATAGAAAGTGAAGTGATTTTGCAGGAAAATTGCACACGTCGATTTCCACAAAAGCTTTGCACACGTTGAAATACTCAAAGAAAAATGTAATGTCCATCCTACGTAAATGTCTTTAAATAGGTATAAAGAAGTGCTGTGTAATCTTTAACAAATTCCTACACATAGTTTTGTGCCTCTGTCCAAGTATTTATGTTATAATCCTCAGACGTTCCCAACTCACTTATCGTCGAATTTAGGACATACTGATGTGGTCTATTTCCATCTCAGGACATTTCAATAAAGACCGAATGTATTTATATTGATTCACAGTGAATAAAGCAAAATTGTATTTACTGCCATTCTCATGGATGCTTCTCATTTTTATATATTACACATCACTTCCAACTATGTGGGGAAAAACTTGAAGGAATGTCGTCGGAGCACTTTAGCTCTTCACTCACCATCCCATTTGGGTTTCCGGTTTCAATGCCGGTTATGATATAATAGAATTTATATGGATTAAGATGATGGAATGGATCCTGCGGAGGAAGTTGATTTTTTATCGCACACCACACAAGTGATTTCTTTTGCCACAATCATCGCCTATTGTTGTGCCCGAAAGGGTCTTCCTTCCCCACACGTTGCGATGGTTCAATAAATATATTTCACGGGGAGTTTCTGAGATCATACATTCCCCTTAATCAATCTTTAATACGGTAAATGTAGGTATAATGAGGGTGTACTTGAGCGTGACATTAATTATGCAAATTCTCATTTACACTCCACAAGTGTTAGTTGGAAATATCTGCGCTTTTCACTCCCTCTGAAGTATGGATGGGAAGTAGTCGTCAAATTTGCAATTATGGGTATTAATTTGAAGTATTGTTAAACAGTTTAGTGTGACAATCTCCTGCCATAGATAGACTCAATTATCATGTAATCCTCAGTGTAATATTTTTGTACGTGTTTGCAATGCTTGAAAACGAATTGCACAAATTAACATGGACAACTGTTAACATATATACAATTTGCGACACCATTTTTCGAAAATATAAAACATTTATAATGCTTTTGAATTGTGAATTTTCAATTCATGTGCCTAAAACTTTAAATATGCGCTTTTAAACACCGTACTAAACCAAACAATATAAGCGTACGTATAAAATATTCATGTAGTATATCAATTAGGCTTTGTTTTTATTCAGGCACGTTTTTGAGCCGAAAGCACTTCCATTGTTTAATTAATAGCTCACACAACACCAAATTACACCCATCACTGAGTATTTTTCGGCTAATAAAAATCCTGTGTGCGAAATATTCTGTTTTTGATAGTTGATTTTGCACGTCCTGCAGCGCACTTTCACGGTCTTTTTGTGGCACATCAGTAAAAAATGTTATGGGTTATTCCTAACTATATGTATTATATATAATTGGACGATAAATACACTACATGAAAAAGAGCTAACCTGCTAGGTACAGAGTCCATGAATTTTCGTCCAGTCATTTTTTGCTGAATTCAGTGATTGAATGGCTATTTACAGCACTTGATGCATTAATTTTCTCTTTAATATGTCTGTCAATGCGATAATTGGAGCAGATTCTTCATAATAGTGAGACATTTCTCCCGAACTATATTCTCTCTACAGTTATTGTCTAGTGTCTATGCGGATGAATGTGGAAAGTGAATTTACCCTCGTGTGGCTGCTTCAATCTGGAAACTACCCGAAAGAGAAACAAAACTAAATTATGTGGCATGGAAAATTCACTTAAGTGAGAAATTTATTTATGGATAAAATGTAAATGCGAACATTCACCGCTTTACAACTTTCGTGAGCTCCTTTGAGTCTCTCATTCACGAGTTTAGGGACTATATCTGTGCGTAATGTTACGAAAATCCTTTTGCATAGGCTTCCCTCGCCACGGGGGAGTCTGTGGATGATGGTAGAAAATATGAGTCAATATTGAGCGGTGGGTTCTTCAGAAATTCCCCCCAATATCCATATCCCGATATTATTTTTTAGAGGTCGAATATTGAGACTTCTCCCCCAGCGCCCATCATCACGTGTATCATCATGAGTAAGCGCCTTTTCGGTGGGTTAGAGCTTTTCCCTGGGGGAGTGGAAAGGGCTGAAGCAATGTAAATCGATATGGGTGGTAATTAAATTTTATATCTCAATCTCAAATTTTACGATAAAATCTCGTCGCAGTATGGATTTTCTGCACAGAAATTCCATTGATTTAATCACAAAATTCAATTATTTGTCCTTGTGCCAAACAAAGTTGAGGAGTTGAGTGAAAATTTGACTTGCAAAGGCACCCAGTTAAATGTGATTATGACTGAAAATAATAACAGAGGGAATTTCTCGCCAAATGCACTGAAGTTGAGGGAAACGTTTCAACCAGGGAGAGATTTATACGCAAACTTTTCTCATATTATTAGTTTCTCTCTGCAATTTACATGCTTTTATCAACTGTAATGACTTTCAAAGATCTGATTGAACTTGTATATGCCTGAGAATAAAATTTATTAAGTCAATTAGCCGGAGCACAACTCATGCCAATAGGGGAAAACTTTCTTTTGGCCTCTGGGATATGGAGCGTGGAAAGCTGCAGACTTTTTGTGCTGTCAATGAAGCTGGATGGCGGTGGAATTTTAGACGTCCTGATTGTGTATCTAGGGAAATCCTGACGTGGAATGTTAAGTTTATATTGTAGGAAATGTCACAAGGTTTATGTTGGTTGTCTTGGCGGGGTGAATCCTTCGAGAGGGCGTCATAATATGATAAAATGACGATAAAGACAATAAGCCAGAGACGTGAACATTTAATAATGCTAAGAAAATGTCAAACCGACTCCTCTCCCAATTTCATAATGAGGATAAGATTTGCCTAAGAGAAACACCGCTCGGAGAATTGCGCACAAATTAGGTCTCTGCTTGTGAGAATCATTTTTAAATGTTTATCTTTCAGCGGGAACCGCGGGAACAGTCCAGAGGAATTGTGGTGCGAAGTGTGAGATGGGGAATGCGAATCGCGAATGTGCCTGGGATTAAGTGACTCGTGAGAGTTTATGGGAAACTTTTAAATTGTCGGAAAATTCACAAACTGACGGCAATGGTGGTGTTTGTATTTTGAGAAATTTACTTGAATTTGAGTGGATGAAACAGCAAAAGTAATCTCAACTCGAACGACTTCATTTCGTACACACAAGTACACTTCCCACAAGTGTGTTTTCCCTCTAAATATGAGAAGCTCACAGTGTGGCGGCTTTCATTGGCATGATTTCAACCGCACTGAAGGAATTTAATCCATGTGACTCTTCATCATCTTACACTTACTCCGCCCTCAACTTTACAGTACATGGAAGTATATTCCTCGACGACTTGAGCTGTAGATACGAGGATATACCAACTGTAACAGTGATAAAATACTCACTAATATCTTGAGTTATTTCCTCCCATTCCCGCAATCGATCGACAGTCACGATTCAGACATTGCTCGTGTACCTTTTAGTTTGCCAATTCTCACTGGGGATTTGCCATTAAAGGCTTCAAACTTGCAAATTAATTGGGGTGATTCTACCCTGAAATTTATCTGCTGTATCACGAAGAATTATACAAAAGCCACACAAACTAAATTTTCGCACGACAAACTCAAATAAAGCCCAAAGGGATCTTATGTTTGTTGTCATTTATTATTGATTTATATGACGTTGTTTAAGCTTGAAATGAATGAATTAATTTGCCGGGGGAACATATTTGTACAACTCTATTAAAATCTCGAGTCAGCAATTCGTTGAGAAAATGATTAAAATACTTTCGAAGTAGAAAGTTAAGAGTGAAATTCAAACTACGTTATGAATTTTTGATTCATAATTTCATTGAAATATGATTGGAATTTTACGAAGCTCATAATACGCTTGACCTGAGAATAGATAAATTGATTTCATTATTGCTACAATTTATGCAAATTCTGAGTGAAATGGCTTAAAATTCTCATCAAGTATTCCACAAGTTGAGTAGCAAACTTTAACAATTTCCACCTTCAATTATACCCTCTCTACACTATTTGATCTTTCCATCGGAGCGTCAATGATGACAGAATAAACATCCGAAATTCCCCTCTTAACATTACGTAAATTTATGCGCTGGAAATGAAAATAAATTTGATGTGTGGGACATTCTCTTGGTATATCAGGTGTTGTCACCTGAAAGGTGTCATGTATTGTAATATTTAAATTTTATTGATATGCATTTCATGCAATACACGCGATAAGAGAAAAAACATGTTAAGTGATTCATTGAAACATTAAATTTTCTCCTTGTCTTTGCACAGGGAAAACACCCTTCCCATTGTCACCCAGGAGGGTGAAAGGAGACAAATTGCGTAGGAGAAAATTACAAAATGGGTAAGTAAATGAATTTTTATGTGCCTCCATGGCATGCTTTTGTGCCCAACATTTATCAGCATTTGCAAACACAGTGTGTGTGCGACTATGAGCAAAGTTTTGGATGTGCACGCGAAGTGTTGCATTTTGTGGTTGGATGCGGATAAAATAACGTTTATGTAGGAAACTTGTAGGAAAACAAAACAGAAGTTTACTGTGTCGGGTTTGACGGATTCCCAAAGTGAATTTTACACAGTGGTGAACATTGATTGATACATTCCAGGGTAGACTGGATTATTTGGTGTTCATACTGCGATACAGTGTAATTTCGAAGGAAAGTGGGAAAAATCACATTGACAACGATTTCTGTAGAATGGGTGGATTTGATTTTAATTCGAATCACAGAGGATTGAGAAGCTCGTGAGTTTCCATGCTGGGTATATAATGGGCCGCTTTCTAGAGACAAGCAGCACGTGGAAAAGGGCTTCAGTGGGATTTTACACGAGCTGTAAATTTCACCCCTAGTACACACCTTTCATTACAGATTTATCAGGAATTCCTTCACAGTTCCCATGGCTTTCCACCTTTATGACTTTTTCCCAATTTTATTCTGTATCTCACGTAAAATTTTCACCCAAAACCATTTATTTTCGCTCTTTCAATTCGAGTTCTTTGAGTCTTCCCGAATGAGTGAGCCTTGAAATGATTGGAACAGATGTGGGAATCATTTGAATTCACGTGAACAATTTTCACAACCCTCCATATAAGAGCCTCTCTCGAGAGAAATCCAGTCTGCTTTACATGCAGTTTACATGCTGAATATCAATACGGGTATCTTAAATTTAAAGCAACAAAACAGTTTGGAAGAAAGCACTTATTGTAATGGAATACTCTGAGAATATTGAAATGGTAGCATAATATTTTCCAGAGGAAATTTGCTGGAGCTTGTGTTTTTGCGTTGCCCTAAAACATCCCAAAATACTTGAAATGCCTTAACAGATGCTAAAAATTCAACGTAAATCTTCATGGAATTTTGTTGTAAATTCAAATCGCTGGGAGTTAGCAAAAGAACCGAAAAATCCATAAATTGTTTCCCTAGGGAGTGTGCCAAATTATAACGCGTATATTCAACGTTGGCTAAAGCATGAAAAATGTATGGGAAAATTTTGCAGTTGTACACAGAGTGTGTGGGGGTTGGAAAATGATGGAGCTTTTCGCAGTGGATTGTGAGATAATATGTGTGAAAATTTATGCAAAACACATAATCATTTAATACCATATAGCAGCAATATAAAATGGAAATGAAAATCTTTCTCCGTCGAAAGACATTCTTCGACGCACTTTGAGAAATTCATCAGCACGCGGGGAGGGTTTTTTTCTTCTTATTCATCGTCCATGAGCATAATCCGCAAACTCAATATTAATATCTAGCCTCTGGTCGTGAATGTGGCGCGCAATTCTCTGCTGTTGTGGTTTTTGAGGTGGCTCGTCCAATAAATCACTGGCCATGGGTGAATTTTATCAGCCCCATCGGAGCGGCTTTATGTGGAAGTCCCTGTGGTGGTTTTTGAATCGTTTATCAGGACGGACGACGATACAACTCATCTGCGGTGACATAAAATAGCAAATAATATTTCATCGACGACATTCCCAGAGATGGTGGCTTCTGAAGTGGCGACATATAGCATTGATAGTGTCAGAGAGCAGACGAGCATGAACATTCCCACTTGCAACGTGTCTGTCAATTTATACATAAACAAGTCCAGAATATCAGAGCAATCACCCTAATTTTCCTTTACTTAGCACGAGGCTTCAATTAATTGGTATATTGAGTAAGAGGATTTTGCAATAATCCACAAATTCCGAGAATTTGACTTGTGTTCTAGAAAATTGTCTCAGTTCATGTCTATCTTCCCAGAAGTTGTTGGCTTATTCTTAAAGCATGCAAGGTGCTTTTCCAGTTGTCACATTTTATTCACGAGCATTAATGGAAATGTGGCTGAATTGATTTCAGCGCATTCGTGTCACCATCATTTCACAGATAGAAGGAGAAAATTAGTTTTCTCCCCTAGAGAATCATTTGGTTTTCATTAAAGTGATAGAGCATCGGATTAGTCATGTTTTATGCAATTTTGACGGAGAAAGAAACCCTGGCGAAAGTAATGAGATTTTATGGGAAAGTGTATTTTTACAGTAAAATGGTAATTTAAACCGATTAAGCGGGACATAAAACCGTGAAATTTCCCCCGATTATCCCTTGTCGCTTTTGCCCATTTTGTCAATGTAAATTCCATTCAATACAAATTCACATAATCCCTCCCTTCATGTGTATGTAAATCACATGAAATGCTATGTTAATTATTGCCCATAAAAGGTGTATTACAGAATTCCACCCAGGGAAAGGGGAACATGTAAAAAGCTTTCTCATTCTCGCCCTTGAAATGAGACATGGAGGATTGCCATGCTCTCTCTCCATTGTTCCCATCAACATTCTCCCCTGAAGAGCAGAACACTCTTCATGAAGGTTTTTCGAGAGCCCTTGCCTGGGTAAAGCTGATGCTCTTGATTCTCCTTTGAGATTGCTTGAAAGTGAGGCGAGAATGATTGAAAATGATTAACTAACCCTGACTGGGAGACCTCAGGACGACAGATGGTATCAGATTCAATGACTTTCCTCACTGATACACTTCATTCTCACGCTTTGCTCAGTCATTCGCCTTGAGATTGGTTCATTGAGAGGGGATTAGGGTGGAAAAAAAAAGAATTAGTTTTTCCGAGTAATGTCAATAGGTATTGATTTTCATAGAATGCATATACACAGAGTAATTCTCCGAAATGTATGTTTACCTGGAAAAATTGCAAAATGTTTTAATGATGTTCAAGGAATTTTCTTTCCTCTGGATTCCATAGAAATAGCTGGCCATTCAATACTTGCTACGATTGAAGCATTTCATGAATCAAACTTAAATTGGAATAATAAGAAGTAATGAAAAGCCTTCAGATGAACTATAAATATAAAGTTTCACGAACAAGTTGTAAAGTCTTCATCAACTTTCTTGCAAACTATCGCGAGAATCAACGAACTTAATTCTCTTGCAAAGAAATATACTCTGATTTTCTTTAGCAATATAAAGCAACTTATGAACACGCCTTCCATTCAGATTCAACATGTCAACTACGATGTGAATGACACTGGAAGAGTCTTGCATTATGAAAAGCTCGCAGGTGGCGTCTCTTAAGATGAAAGTAGACGTGCGTGTGTGTACAGCTTTAAAAGCACACAAAATATGCAATATTCCATCCAATATTCGTCGCACAGCTCACCGATGCTCTTGTGGCGTCAATTTGGCAACGTCGTGTATTTCTGCATTTGGCTAAATGCCCATAAAACTTCTCTCAACACGCCTGACTACGAAAATTTTCAATAAATACCTCATTTGCACTGTGCAGTAATACAATTTTGCACAAACTTCTGCACCTCGTCTGGCAAAACGTGAAATTTCACATGATGGAGCACACGTCGTGGAGAAACGTCTCCATCCAGGGCTTTAGCCAATAAGGCTCTCACTCACTACAAAAGCGTCTGGCGAGGGTGGAAAAAAATGCTGCATAGAAGATGGCTAAAAACGTGCAGGTGAATTCCAAAGTGAGTGAAAATTCAACTGAAATGTGACACCCATTCTGTGAGTGCCCAACAGGTGTGGAGAATCCATACAATTTCCGTCTCAATTTTTCACCCCCTCCCGACTTACATAACGAGCGAATATAATTTACATCACCTGGCGCCTTCATGTAATCAATTCCACAATAAACTGTGCGTAAAATTCAGGGGCAGCACCAAATCATTAAATTCTAGTCACATATCCTTTCTTCATTTAATTTAGCCGCGCGTCACAAGTGATGTCGGTTTTCTCCCCCCGACAAAGCTTTTCTGTTGGCAGAGCTCACCTGAGGAAAAATTACAATATAAATCCCGTGTTGGGGATAAATTTATACCAACGCCGCATTTGAGGGTGAAATTGTTGCTTCCAAATGAGCAAATCATTGCTTATTTTCCTCCCCATCTATTGATTTTTCCAGATTCTCAACCCCTAAATACCCATTTGGGCGCCAAAATAAAAATACACCCCGACCTTCAGAGGGTGCACAGAGGATTTTAATTTAGATGGTGGAGATTTAATTTAATTCTTCAGTCTCTTCTGCTGTTCCTCACACAACGAATTTCTCAGTGATTGGCTGAGAACTGCGCTCAATTGCAGGTGAAACTCGTCTCTCGGGCGATTAAATAAAATCCCCACAATAAAAAAAACCACAAGGGACTTCACCTAATAAATAAAATAATTGGAAAGTTTACCATTATCATTGCTCCGCAATTTTAATGATAATTCCTTTCCAAGGCTGCCAAGAGCGTAGTTAAAGCTGAATTGTTAAAGAGACTATTTTTTCACTGTGTTACACGTAAATTTAAACGTTTACTCTGAGTTTTGCCATAATAAAAGCTCACCATCGAATTTCCGGCTCAGTGACTTGAAAAATATTCTTTCTCCGAAAGAAGTTAAACTTTGGATATTTATGAGAAATGTCGCCACAATTTATTGATTGCTACAAAATGAATTGCGTGGTATTCTTCAATTAAACAATACTTTTTTGTCATCCCCATAGCCAATTATTTGATAAAGATACAGCCAACCCCGCTCACATTCGATGTTGTAATTAATTTCCGGTGGTTTTTGCTGCTTCATTCGGATAACTCACTAATTCCCCTGGAGCTGATGAATTTTTGCTGACGCTCGACAGCTTTTTCCATCGCTTTTATATTGAAAAACAAAAATTGGCGTAATAGGAATAAAATCAGTGGGAAAATATTTTATGTTTTTACGAATTTCTGTGTTCAAGGGTGAAATTTTGAGATTTCATTCGAAATTGCCTCACATTGAGGGTCATATAAAAAATTTATGAAACAATTCCACAAATCTTCTCTCGCTCAGAAATCATTTGGTGGGGCCCGAAGAAAGCGATCCCATCGATGTTTTTTCTCACCCTTCGACGCAAAATGTATAGCAATACAAATCTATGTGCGTCTTTTTTACGGAGAAGCTCTATTCTTAGTCCCGCAAACGCGGGTATATTTATCATAGCGCAAATATCCCCAAAAGTGTATTCCTACGTGGTTTCACATCTCGATGGTCCTTGCGGAGGAGAGACAATTTATATGATTGCTTGACTTTCGGGGCATCGGCAGTGGGAGAAAAGCGGCAGAAAGTTTTCTATTGATTCATGGTCGTTGGATCGTGACACAAACCTTAAATGAAGGAGAACAAAACCAAAGAAAAAGGGGCACATGAGCAAATACAAGTTAAACATCCCTGTTTTTCTACTCTGTCTCACTGTTTTCGCCAAACAGTATCAACATAGGAAGAAGTAAATTGTCATTGTAAGGACTAAATGACACAAATCAGGCATTAAACCAGGAAGATCATTGGTTTGATTATGCTAAGTATGGGTAATTTCTGTATATAAAAACAGATTAAGCAACACCTGAATTTTTTTGTTTTATACACTCAAAAGAAGCGCGAGCATTCTTGGAGCAAAAATTCTTCAGTGGCAAAGAAGAAGGCAAGATCGTCGTGCTGTTAATTGAATTTATAATTTCACCCATCCTAGTCCGAATCCCTGGAAACTTGTGTGGCACACAGAATAGAAAGACGCATCGCTGAAGCAATTAATTGCCACTCAAGGGGAAAAAAGCCACCCGCACAGTTGGTGAGGAGCAATTTTTCATGGTCGGGAGTTGAAGAAGTAATTTAATGGATTAGTCCTTCTACCCCATTACGTGCCCTTCCCGCCGATTTTTTCCCCTCACCCTTCAACCTCAGTGTCTCCACTTTCACTCCCCCGCACAGGCTCTGCTTTCACTCTGTGGTATCTTATTCATCTTCATCTCCTTGCCTTTCATCTCGAGCGGACACCGAGTGAGAAATGGGTGATTGTGTGTCATTGATTTGCGGGTGTGCCGGCCTTCCCTCACATGGTTCACCATCAGAGTCGCAGGAGAGTATTTTTTCACGCCTCATTAATTGACCCAACGTGCAGATATCTGTTTTTGTGCACACGAGGGTAGGGAAAAAATTCATGAACACTGTGACTTCATCTCACGTACAACATGTGTGGCTCATCCTCTGGAAGCCTCCCATGTCGGACGTTAGGCCACTCGACAGGGTTTGTGGCATGGGGAAGAGGAAGACAGGGATAAGATTGAATGCCCATGAATTGTGTATTTATTCCATTAGGCCGCACAAATCATTTCCTTGCAAATTAAATATTTTCAACAAGGAAATTGGTAATCGTATCGAGATTTATCCTCTGCTTAAATCTCGCTTAAGGTGATTTATTCAAAAATAAATCAAAGCAATTTCATCCTGCCAATATCATGGTGTATAAAGGTAAACTTTCATCAATGTTGTTTATCCAAGGAGAAAACGGGGCAATAGCCCAAACAATGTTTGCAGTCCAAAAACTTTCTCCCATCAACAAGATACCTGGAGAAAAAGTATTGGCACAGGGAAAACAGTTGGAAAATTCTACTCTAAAGCAAAATTATACATTCAAGACTTCACCATCATTTTCTGCATCAAATGCTATTGACTTTGCAAGAAAATTTTCCGAGAAATTTTTCATGTGAAACATCTCCAAGAGATTTTCAAGCTCTTCACCTCTGCTTATTTTGTAAGTTGTTGAAAAGTCTTGTTCTCTTCATCGCTGTCGAAGAGTGCTAATCAAGGATAAGAGAAAGACTAAGGGGAAAGGGAAGATTGAAAGGCTTAAAAGATGCCTCATTCCTCATTAATTTGTTGGTCTTACTTTCATTGAGTGTATATCTTCAAATCTCGAGAGTGAATACAGTTGTTGCAAAATTCATGTCTTGTAATTGATGTTTGTGGCGGCCATATCGATTTTTTGCTCACTGTTATTTACTTATCTTCAAGCAATAATGTATAACGCAATTTCTTTGGGGTCGCTCTCCTCCTCAATTCCCCAGTCGCAGCACAAAAGGTCCAGCACGGCGAATGAAGAGGGAATGACGTAAAAATTTAATTTATCACCCGAGCAGAATTTAATATTATCCATCGCGTCTCCCAAGAATCTAGTCGTAGATCAATAAGTAAATGAATAAATGAAAGGGAAAATAATTAGTGCTATTCTCTATTATTAGATGTTAGCAATGCTCGACGATGCTAGAGATATATCATCCCCTGAGGATTTTTGGTGGCGTATGTGAGATACGTTTAGGGCTCCCTTCTTTGTCATAAAGCGACATGGAATTCCCTATTGTCACATGTAATTTTCTCCCGAAATTATTACCGACTCTCATTGCCAAGCGAAATCTATCATATTATTTTTCCGTCTCAGAGACTTTTCTGGCGTTGCGTCGCAAAGTGAGCCGAGGCAAATTAATTCAAATGAGTTCATTGTTCTCACTAACTACAAACACTAAAGCATCTTTTTAATTAGATAAAAGTTCCTTTGCGATACATTTTCACTGGACAGAGAGAAGGAAGCAAAATGCGAAAGTTCTTCACTTTTGATGCTATTATTTTATATTCTGTCATTATTTGAAAAGACTGTGCAATGAAACAAATAAAAGCTCTTCAATTTCAATCAACAATAAGAGGATAAAATTGCAGATGTTAATAACCAGCGGATCTTCTTCGTGTACTTTTCTGCGAAATAGCGTCATTACTTATTTATAGAATAATTTCTGAATCAACTGACTGTTCAATTGGAAAACCATTGAAATTGATATGGCGAAGCGGGTAAAACTATAAACAGAATAGTTTGAATAAAGTCTCTTGTGGAGGAAAACGATATTGCTTCCTTCACAACTTGCTTTATGAGCGAATAAAGGTCAATTTTCAAAAGAAAGCATGAATTTGTCATCTTAATAAGCGTTATTATTTAGAAAGCATTTTTCTCTCTGAATAAATAATATTTTTCACCTTTGAGAGCTCATGCGTGGCCAATTGATTTGCAAAACAGTGTAAGTTTTTGAAATTGCGAAAGGTCGCATGATTATAGCTCATATTCGTAAATGAAATAATTATTGTTCGCCTGACATTTCACGAATGTGTCGAAAATTGCAATATTAACCTTCTATGTGTATAATTGAAATTTAATACATTTTATCGATTGGCCCATAGAAATTCCTCTGTGTAAATTCAAATAAAATTGTGGCTATAAATGGTCGCCTCTGGCATAGAAAATGAGCATAAATTCGAATGAAACGCTTGAATGGAAGATGAAGTGTCACTTCTAAAACTTCATTTAATTACACCTCCACAGTCCCTTCTTGGAATTCTCAATTTTCTGACGAATTCACCAAGGGTCTTGTAATGTCCTTCTCTCCCTCATCCTTGGTCCGCCGAGGCTCAGCATCTCTCATTCCACCTTTTTTTCCTCTTGTGGCGATGAAGAAGGGAGAAAAAAACGAAGAAAATGGGACGAAAATAGAGAAGTTGAGGAGTGATGAAAAGGAGTTATCTAGCCTGAATTACAATAAACAGCGAAGGGAGGTGGAAAATTGATTAAAATCAAACTGCAAAGTGAAGAAAAATGGGAGCGAAGGCGGACTTATGAGAGATGAAAACCAATATACCCGGCGTCTCCATTGACATGCTCCGGCGGACCAGAAGAATGGGTGTGTGCGATAAAAACTGGGCATCTTTACCATGTCATTCACTTCTCCTCTCCACCTCCGTGCGCCCCTGATATATTGTGATTAAATTTTCATTCCATCGCTCCATATCGAGGAGTGTCTGCGGGCAAAGTGAAGGCAAGCTCGTTGGCGTCCCTTTCACGGGATCCTAAAAGCTCTATCAATCTTTCGCAGCCCACGTGCCACCACTCCTCGTTGTCGCCATCTGATGGGTGTAATTTCAAATTCACACAATCTCCAATTGTGATTTTTGCTGATGATTCTCGCAATATTGCTCACCCAATAATTGATTCAATCTATCTCGGAGCACTTTTCACACCTTCGATGAGGGATTTTCACTGGGATTTTCCCCCATTTCTTTGCGTGGGTGACGCGCGATTTTTAATGGCAACACCCCAAAGAATAAATGTCTTACAGATTTTGGGAAATTATCGCATAAATATTTTCACGATGGAGTTTACAACCGCTGGGGAGAAAAATTAACAGGCGGATTTGAAACTCCTCCGCGCAAATTCCAAGACAGTAAAAGAGGGATCAAAGATATATGACTCGGTTACATCACATCTTCTTTCTCTACTCTAGCCAAAGTCTTAATATAACTGATATTGGGAAGGTGGAAATTGGAAGGTGTTTGAATAATGGTGAATTTCCATTGCTTTTGCAGATCCCTACAGAATGCGTCGTTCATCGTTCACGCCACAGTTCAGTGCGTCGAACCAGGAGCCGCTGATTGTGGTGGAGGAGTCAGGCGCCGGGGAGGAGGATGAGCCGCCCAGCAACAGGTCCTCGCCACGCAACAGCCTCGACATCGACTCTCCCGTGAACCCGTACTTGCTGTCGCCGTGGCGGGATCCGCGGGACACACGCAAGCACTCCCTGCCCACGCCCCAGTGCACCACCGGCATTACGGCCAGCCAGGTGAGGCGGCTGTCGGAGCGCGGCGGCGAGGGCTCTGGCCCCAGCCCGCGCGAGGCCGCCTTCCTGGCCACCCTGTCACAGGCGCCGGCGCCCACCCCGGGCGGCCGCCGCCACTCCGTCGTCACCATCTCCAAAGTGCCACCCGCACTCTTCGGCCGCAACCGGCGGGAGTCCATCGCGGCCTTCCCCACTGGCAGCAACAGGTGACTTCCTCCCCACCTCCGGGACCCCTCGCAGGCCATATCACAAGCTTCTGAGCGCCTCCAATTGTGCGCTAATTGAGAAGGCGGATTCATAATGGTGTCAATTACTGCCTCCACTTGTTCTTCTCGCACACACAAGAGCGTGTCTCGAGATCTGCTGCTCTGCAACTGAGAAGTTCTGAACTGGCGGAAAACACACCGCAATTAATCTCAATCAGATTTCGCCACTGAACATGTGTATGCCAATTTACGAGAAATGCAAACTTTGCCGAAATGCCGGGTTGAACTTTATTATTTTCAAGCACTCATCCACTTTAAAGTCAAAGTGAGGTAAACCAGATCAACTGGCCAAGCAAAACGCCAAAGGTGAATTAGAAGATGAAAAGCTCTTTGAACTTGCATTTGGAGTATTTTCTAAGTTGGTGAGAAGAGTACATTAGCTACAAAAACCATTCACCTTCCCTTTGAAGGTGAAAAGTAACAGAAATGAAACTTATTTCTTTTCTTCCGAATGCATATGTGATGTATTTTTTTCCTATTTCATGAGTTCTGAGCAGTTTCTGCTTGGAAAATTAAAGTCTTTCCAAGCAAATGATATATAATCATTCACCTTTATAATCCTTCACTTCTCTGGAAAGAAGCTTGTGAATAAAATATCTTAGCGAATCCTTTCTTGAACATCCCATTTTAACTATATGAATATTCACGAAAACCAACGGCTTTTATCTCGAGTTATTTGCCTAATGATTTCATAATTTATTCACTTCCAATGTGGAAGATTTCTGCTCACAAAATCTATCTGGATATAACAATTTTGTGCAGAAGAAAGTCAAAATCAACACCCAAAGATTAAACCAAACTAAGTCAATTCAATTAGTCTCGAGAGTCTCTTGAAATTCTACCACAGAGACTTTTCCCCCAGAATGTGAGTGGGAAGTATAATTAATAATTCTCCTTCCAGAGCTCTGAATGCAGCCAGTGGCCCCAGGCGAGAGAGCTTGGCGGGACCTCCGTCGACGGATCATCGGGGCAGCGTCCACAATCTGCAGCTGGACATCATGGACGACATCGTGCAGGCACGAAAGGCGCGCATGAGGCTGTGGAACACGAGCAGCGAGAAGGTGTGCGAAGTGCAGACGCTGGATGAGGGCGAGACCACATCCCCAATGCGCTACACTAATCGCCGCTACTCGGACTTCGTGGGCACCCAATTGCCGCCCATCCAGTCCCACCGGCGAGCCTCCGAGATGCCCTGCATCGTGTCCCCAGCACTCTCACCAGCCGCCATCGGCCGGAAGATCAAGGCCGGCATCGTGTGCACAAATACAGATCTGGTGGGGCTCCTGTCCTCGCTCACATCCTCCGCCACGGAGATTAACAAGTGCGAAGAGACCCCGTCAACACCTGCGCCTCCGGCTAAGAAGTCTTCCTCGCCGGAACATCGCCGAAGCAGCATGAGATCCAGCCGCTCCAACAGTTTCGACGTCTCCGTGCTGAACAATTGCAAGCAATTTATTGCGAGCGCCGATGAGAAGAGCTCAGTGCTAACGGGATGGTTCGCGAAGCGCCACCAGCCCATGGCCACCAAGAAGGCCCCCAAGTCCAGCCCGAGCGTCTCCTTCTCGCGGGACGTGCTGGAGCGCTTCCGCGACCGCGAGAGTAAGGACGCGCGCAAGCCCAAGGAGACGAAGGAGTCCGGCGGCCGGCTCAAGTGGGACAGCAAGAGTCCCTTCGTGGACGCCCACATGATCGGCAGTGCCATCGAGGGCTTCCTCAGGCGCGGCTCCGGCAGTTCCTCCAGCTCCAGCAAGGGCGCCATCCCGAAGGAGAACGCGCGAGGGAAGAAACCCGCCGGCTCCAAGTCGCCCTCGATGTGGTTCAGCAAGGGCGACGAGGATGACTCCAAGGACTCCTGCGACTCCTCGCTCTGTAGCACGCTCAAGGATCTGTTTGTCAAATAACTAGACTTGAGCTTTTAGTTTCATCACTGAAGTCCTCATTTGAAAACCCCCATTTGGCCAACAGTGCTGCGAGTTATTTTGCACCCACCCTCCGACCTTATCCGCTCAGATGAGCTAATATTTAGTGTAAACAGTGCTTGGGGTTCTTCTAAATTGGTGAAGGCGCAAATTAGTTGCGAGTATTTGATCACCCTTGCAGGGCGACCCTCATTAATATAGGACTCTAGTTCAAATACAGTTCTGAAAAGGTCTTTAGCGTCTTCATGAGCATCAACCACATTTGCGGTTGATTGATTTTTCAAATGGATAATTTTAGAAACAATTGTTCTTAGATTCCCTTATCATTTCACAGGGGTGCGCATTTGCTTTTGATGCAAGCACACAAATAGGTGTCCAGCAGACGTTCGATATCCAGTGAAGTTGCAGATCTTTGGACAAAATAGCATTTTTCCAGAAACTCAAATTTAGTGGCAGAAGTCTATTTGGCTTCTTAGTTTCCAATGCACGTTTGAATATCGAACACTCTGTTGTTCTACTATTTTTGCATTTGCAATAAACATACAACTTCATGTGTGGTGATTGTGAAATTCCTCACGGCACTGTAATGTATTGTATTTTAAATTCAATGTCCAACTTTGTGCCAATATTCCTCGGAACAATTTTACATTACATTCTTGTTGTTTATTGTCATTAAGAACGAAATGAGAAAAGATAATCTTAACATTATTGTGGGTGTGTGTTGTAATCGCGTGCAAATTCAGAGGAAAAGCAAAAAAAAAATCTGTAAACAGAAATATGACTAATTTTCTCATATTCATATTACTTAATCTTCCTTCTGCAGAACAATACAAAAAATATATCTCAACATTTATATACAAGAAAAAAAATAATAACAGATTGTAGAGAAAATGTACATTTTTGTGAACATTTCAAATTGCGTAAAATTTCTAAATTAGTTTGTAGGTTTTCAAGAGATTTATCCTCCTTTTTCGTCACGTCCACGAGAATGCACTTAATTTTGACAAGGACTTTTTCACCAAATACAAACACACACACCTGAAAAGGAAACACACACACACGCAGAAAAGAAACCCGCCAAAAATTACGACTATCAGTGCAAATAATTACGAGAGACTATAAAAGTGTGAAACTGATCCCATCGTTGAAGACTATCCGGTATTGTTTTCATGAAACCTAGATGAGAAACTCCATGAATTTTTGCGAGAAAAATCACCAAAGATTTTGAGAATTTTAATCAATTTCAAAGTGAATGTTAACAGTAAAGGAAGAAAAGCTACAATATATTGAACTTTTATGGATAGTTGATGTCTAATCCATATTTTTTCATAGAAAAAAAAAATAAATAAATAAAAGAACGAGAAATGTGCCCAGATTAATTACATTTCTCGTCATCAGTAACATTGTGATTAGATAACTAGAAGTCAAGCTTAATGCATTTGAGCCCAAAGAGTGGCCAAGGGGAGGGAAAAGCTCTGGTTAAGGGTGTACATTGAATATTAACATACACTTTTCCTCCTCTTGAGCCATCGAAGAGAGACCATAAAAGTGGTTAGTGAGAAAAACACAAACATTCCGAGAATCTTAGTAAATCCCGCCAGATAAATCTGCAATATAAAGTCATAATTCCGAGCATAGTTGAAGGAGTTCATGGTGAAAAACACACAATTTACTCTTGTTGTTGTAACAGTTAAATAAATAGATATAACCCATGAGGAGAAAAACAAGCTGTAGATGGGCAGAAATGATAGTGAAAAAATCCCCAATATAATTCAATGTTGAGAAAGGAAAAATTTGGAAGCAAACTCATGAGAAATTCACAGATATTTCGAGTGTAGAATAATTCCCTTGTGCTGAGTGTCAAACCCTATTTTCTCACATAAAATAGTTAACAAGAACAACCCTTAATAAGTAGAGATGAAAATTAAAGTGTAGAAGATATAAATTTATATAAGAAAAGCATTAAATTATTCCAAATGTGTGGAGAGACACAATGACTGTCACAAGAAATACCTTTAAACATTAGCGAGAATTCGAGACGAAATTTTGCCACATAATTTTGTCCATTCTTCTTCGTAATTCTATGTGCTACATACTTCTCATTTTCTGTCATTTCCGCTCTCTGCCTCATTATTATTTTCATTCCATTTGAGACAAAATGCACAGCTCACATTTTATAGCGAGTCACCAAGAACTAGACGATTAAACGGGTTTGTATTTTCTCCCAAAATATAAACCTCAACCAAGGACAATATATTATATAAAATCCATTTTGTGCATTGGAAGATTATCATTTTCCCATTGGAAGCACCATTTCTTTCCTAATTGTGATTAAGGTTATTGGAATTGTATGTTAAGAGACTTTCACTTCAAAATGAAAACCTTCTATCGTGAGTGTGACACTAAGTAAATAAAAGTACTTTGTAAATAAATATTTTCGCTGAAAGAATGGGGCATTTGGAGGACGCAAACAGTGTGAATTGAGCGAGAAATTGGGGAAACATGCTCCACAAGAGGTAAATGTACTTGTTGTCTGTTGAGAGTTTTATATTTTTAAAGGAAAGAAATTATATTGAAAGAAAAAAAATGTATTTAAAGTAATATAACTTTAAATCTCTTTTATCAGTGTTGAATTTCAAGATATTTTATAAAATGATTCTCATTAAGTGTACATAAACAAAGCTAATGGTGAAATACAAGAAGTAAAAAAAACCAGTCTATTTCAGAAGAAAATGATAGCGTAGTGAGAAAATTAACAAAATTAATCTATATTAATGGACAAAAAAAATAATTGTGTTAAAAGAAATCTATGTATTGACAAGAGAAAACAATTTACGCAATAAAGAAAAATTGTTAAATACAGTGCGACTTTCTTTTTTCACTCTGCTGATTTATTACTTGATTTTATACTTCATTTTCGAGAGTACATCACTTGCAGCTATCATCTCCCCCTTGTTCTAATTGCTTTTACACTCTGAACATTCAATAAATCATAAGCTTATGGTCTCCTGAGAAAGTAACAATTATATTTTGCTGTCTCCCGACAATTTATTGATCGCAAAAAGTAATAAAAGCGAGAAGAGACGCTGATAGGGCCATGTTAAAGAGTGCACTTCAATTAAATTTTCTTTAATTCTTAAAAACTTAAAAACTCATTTTTCCATCCAGTATTGTATATAAAGATACCAAAGATATCAATAGATTTTTTTTGTCACCAAAAAAGAACTGCTAATATACGAGTGAATTGGTAAATGGGTTACAACATTAGGCAATGGAGGAAAGTGTGATTTTTGGAAAAGAAAAAATCAGTTTTTATTGAGTTCAAAACATTTGTATATGGAATACGAAAAGCGTTAATTGGGATTTTCTCAATGTCTTACAAATGCTTAATCAATCCACAAAATTAATTATAGTTAATCGCACGATATTCGGACTTCCTTTTAGCACTGTTACATTATCCTCCTCTTCCATCCTACAAAAACAGAACATCGCAAATGCTCCCCTTTTCCTTCCTTACATTCTTTCTTCTTCTCCTTTGTTTTCGTTCCAAAATCAATTTTACAAAACAATTTCTTCTGAGTGAGGTTCAGGGCAAATGTGTGAGAAAATGACTGTGAGTTTTATTTCATCATTCTTGCATCTTTTTTTTTTTCTTGATAGGGTGGAGGAATATTAGAAATCAAATGCGAGCGATCAACACTCTCTCTCTCCCCCGCTCCCTTATGAAAGTTGTCCACAGTCAGCCACAACGATCTGTTTGGATGTCTTGCCGGATTGACTGCCGAAGCCCTCAATCTTCTTCACCACGTCCATGCCCTCCACCACCGTGCCGAACACCACATGGCGATTGTCCAGCCAGGATGTCTTCACCGTGGTGATGAAGAACTGGGAGCCATTGGTGTTGGGCCCAGCATTGGCCATGGACAGAGTTCCGGGCCCAAGATGCTTCAGCGTGAAGTTCTCATCCTCGAACTTGGAGCCATAGATGGACTTGCCACCAGTGCCGTTGTGGTTGGTGAAGTCACCACCTTGGCACATGAAGTTGGGAATGACACGATGGAAGGTGGATCCTTTGTAGCCGAATCCCTTCTCACCAGTGCACAGAGCACGGAAGTTTTCGGCTGATTTCGGCACGACGTCCGAACGCAACTGCAAGACAGGACGAGATAGAGAATGAAAACATATTATGCATTGCATAATCGGCAGATAAGGGAGAAATTTGCAGCAATTCTTATCAATCTTGCATAATCTATCAGCAATTGTTCAACAATCATTTTTCCCTCGATATGAAATTTCAAAAGTTCACCCAAAGATTAGTTAAGGCTCTTATCTATACAAATAAACAAGGTTACCAAAATTCTCCCTATCATGGAAAGTTTCTGCGAATTGCAGAGAAGCCTCGCTTCATATGGCGATGCTATATGAAAGCGCAATTTTCTCATTGCACTAAATTGATGTGAATAAGTAGTTTGACGCTTTGCATAGAATACAATTCACACTCCTCTTCCTCATCATGCCTTCATCATCAACATTTCCCCAGTCTTATATGAAAAAAAAAGAACCGAGCAAAGCTCAGCTCCATCACGTTCAATTCCACCTTGATTCTGGGAAAGCAGAAAGCAATTAAAAGCAGAAAATCAATAATTTCGTGAGTGAATCAAATGCATTCTCACTTGAGGAATCCACTGAGAGATACCATAAGTTTCACAACGACTATATCGTGTCATTTCCACAACGATGCTAAATGGACAATCATCGACACGATAGCACGGATGAATATCTCATGATACTGGCCTAGATTTTTTTGGCTTGTGCTCAATAATTCATCAATAGTTGGTGGAGTGGCTCGACTACGCCATCCCCCGCTTTTGTGGAGACTTGCCGCTGAAATTACATAATTCAACGTGTGCAGTCGCACTTCTTTCTGCAAATTCACGCAACTCTATTATTGGTGTGGAATTCGTCTCAATTTGCTTTACTATCTTGGGTGCTAAACATGTAATTTGATGGCTAAAAATAGACAAAAGCAATTAGACAATCGTTTAGAGACTTTCCGGAACTGATTAAGTGAGAATACAAGGCATAAGTTATTAGCCGGCTGAGGTGTTTTGCCTTCTGCCACCTCAGCAAGTCATCTCCCATAAGCGCCCTTCTTCTCGTCCAGCCGCCGCACATTGTCCGAGAGTGTTGGAAATTAATGCAACATTGTTCATTGTGTGAAAAACCGGCGAGGAAATGAAGGAAAAATTAGGCATTCTCCACCAGACAATGCCAATTCATTGGCCAAAACCACGCGCGCGCGCGCCACACTTCCTCCTTCTTGACCGCAGCGCCACCATCATTAATGACATTAACCTCGTGTCACCCGGTGTTCTGGAATTTTCCGATGCCTCCACCAGGCATGACACGAGAGAGCCCAATCAAATGCGGCCCTTCTGCCGCCACCCGGCGCCCCAGCGAGACACCGCTGGCCTTGGCGTCCCAATTCAGCGTCTACCTGTGGCCTTGCCACCCCCTGAAATTATCTATTCCACGCCAAGCCCCCCAATCATCGATTCCGTGGCGATTTATTGCACCCACCCTGTCCGGGAAAATCACGGCGACAATGAACTCGCCCTCCTCTGACTCAACGCTCAGCGACAGCAGCGCCACCGGCCAGTGGACGCCCTCCGCCCAGCGCCCCCTCAAAACCCACACACTCCCCGCCAATCCCACCTGCTCGCACCCCTGCCCCGCTGCCCAGCCCCAAGACGCCCAGCTGCGCTCCCAAACCGGACCCCAGCCGGCTTTTCGCCACCCATGGCCGGCAAATGGCGTGACCTTCCACATGGTCGCGGCCCACTTTTCGCCCCCAGAAAACCTGCAAAGCTTATCAAATTGACTCACTTCCATCACAATGCGCCCAATGGTTGAGTTGTCGGCAGACATGTCGAAGTAAACACGCGGCAAACCCATCTTTTTGCTGGCGAATTCACGTATTAATTGCAGCGACACAGCAGAACACTTGAAATTCCGTCCAATGGCGAGAGAAGACTGAAGCACCGCGGCCATCTGTAGGGAAAAACGGACACCGCCAATGAAGTTTCGGAGAGCGGAAGTTGAGTCATTTTGCGGCAACTTTCACGCATTTTCACACTTTGGAAGCCGCATAAGAAGGATTTTCACACTGAAAGGTGTTCTGAATGAATTTGAGGAATTTTCATTGATATTTTGCATGACAGAGACCTATTTTAAGCTGATTTTGTATTGATCAAACTTGAATGAATTTCCCACATTCCGAAAAAATATCCCAAAATATAAATGCCGGGAAATTTCACAAGAAATTCAGGGAAAACTACAGAATTACCCTAAAAATATCACTAATTGAACGTTAAAGTGCTATTGATTACTTCATCCAGCTATGTTCCAACGCAATTGACAAAAAAACAGCGTGATTTAATACAAGACCAAGTCTGAAACACAGTGGGATAATTATTTCTTCAAATTTCACCTGATAAACTCACTTACCTTTGGCTTTTCGAGAGAATACCACTTTACCTACTCAAAGTCAGTCTGTGTAAATGCGAGAGCGAAGAATATTGCCTCTATTATCACGAAATAGTCAAAATTCACGGGAATTTATGTAATCAAGCAAATGCCTCCACACAAAACACTCCGGAGAACCACGTTTTCGAACATCGCATTCCGAATCCCGCCTGCCGAAGGGCGCCAAATCAAAGACTCATACTTTTGAAAAGAATTTTATTGACTAAATATATTTGTAAGTACAATGATACAACCTTAAAAACAATAAGTTATCCACAAAATGATTCAAAATTGTGATAAATTCCTGCGGGATTGGCGGCTGTGCCGCCACGAAAAACATTTCATATCTTCTTCACCAATACAAAAAACAATTAAATAAGTGTAAAATTAAATTATGGACGGGAATTTTCTTCACCAAGATCAGTATTTACCAGTAAACTAGGCGCAAAATGTATTAGTCTGCATAAAATGTGATATTTAGCTTGTCTACCTATAAAAATGTTATTCTTTTATAGATTCAAGCTTCTTCGTCAAAGATTACATTTAAAATGTGTGTATTCCATTAATATTTCTCCTCCTCTCATGCTTAATGCTATAAGTTTCAATTGCAACTGGTGTTATTTCACTTTTAAATTACTTCTAAAGTACTTTCTTTTTCATTAGGAATTATACTAAATTGCGATTTATTTTCTACTCAATAGAGATTATTTTCACTTTTTTATGTGTTATTTAAATGCCATTTCCATATTTCTTTTAATACTTTTCAATTTCATGTGTTCTTATGCCGTCTCGTCTACTCTCCTCACAAGTTTTGGATAGAAAAATATTAGTTCAATTGGAGTAAATATAGAAATATATCTCTATTTGTATTAGTTCAGGAGGTGTCATTCCTCTCCTTTCACACAGTGGCAGAAGAAAACCAGAGATTGCAATAATGTGAAACCTAATTGCTTCTGAAGTTTGCTTTCAAATAAATATTATGAGATTATTTGCCACTAAAGTTGTATTTTTTGCTTGTCTTTGGATGTCGAGAGAACACAGGACGTTCAGATAACAATGAGGTTCCACGTGAAGAGGGGAACAAATTCATCAAACAGTCTCTCAAGTGATAAAATTTGCATGAAAATTGGATTGTTTGGGTTAAATTCCGCAGTTTTTCATTAGTAGTGATGATACAGCACGATGTCTCGATGCATTCTTTACACTCATGAAAGGGTAGACAATAAGAGTGGCGTCATGCTCAATATAGCCTCGCATTTAATTCTAATCTGTCCCCATTTGCCTCACAATGTGCCTCATTAGCTCCTATTAATTACCCTCGCACGATTGTAAACAATGAGTCATCAAGCCACCCAGCCTGAGAGTGATTTTCCGCGGTGGCACCGCGAAATTCACCCCTAAAAATGTTAGACAAACGATAAAATGAGGAATCAATAAATAAAATGTGGTGTCTTTGCGTGTCATGATCAATCTCACAGGGCAGCTCACCTGGGCGCCACCTAGAACTTTTCGCTGCGCCTCCGACGCCCCAGGCGCCCGAGCAGGGCCTTCAGTTTCACTATTAGTTATGCTTCTTCCACGTGGCCGGTGGGACGGAGGACGATGCGTGGATCAGGGTCGAGCATCCGGTCGGACTCCTCGGCGCTGCTCACGCACTCCTTCGTGTCCGGCATGAGATTGCGTCGCTCCTCGTCGTCCAGGCGCGCTGGGAGCTCCGACACGGGAGCGTATTGGGTGTGAGACACCAGAGGATCGGTGGAGGGGTTGAGGGCGAGGATCTGGCCACCGCCAGAGCCCTGGAACTGCCTGGCGAGACCCTGCTTCTTCGACAGGTGACACGGGCAGATGCAACCGCGTCGCCAGTCCGCCACCTTCACGTACAGGCCCAACAGGAAGAAGCCAAAGATGGTCATGAAGACACCTCCGACCACCACGCCAATATCCACCCCCTCAGTGGTGTCTGCAGTGTCCATTCCGAGCTCCTCTTTGTGCTCTTCTGTGTCCTCGAAGTCTGCGGCTCCGTTCGCAATCATTGTCACGCCTACGAATCCAATAAACACATCAACTTCTGCTGAAATGTCCCAGGAAACCCCCACACTCACCCGCCGCCACAAATAGGAGCGCTACAAAGAGCAGCAGAGCCTGCGGAAGAGGCTTCTTCAGCATCCGCAGTGGCGACACGGAAGTCGTCTGGGCGAGCAAGCCTCCTGGCCTTGGCTCGTAAGACACAGTCGTGGGCTGGTACACAGGGCCACTTGCAGGCATCTTCTCTCCGTTAGTGTCAACAGATCACGTATCAGATGAATATCCAAGTCTCACTGTGGAATTTTCACCAAAATTCCACCATATGTTGGACCCCAGAGGATTCTCCTTGTCCTCCTGCAGAGGTTATGTGCGTTCGTCACAGAAAACCACTCCCAGACACTCACGATCAATTCCCCAACTAGCTCAGCAGTGGCAGGAAGCGATTGAGTGATATTCAGCACTTTTTGACCACCAAAACTGCCTCTGGAGCGAGAATTTGTGGATATTTTGTGTGAAAATTTGTCACTCTCTCTCTCTTTTTCTCACAATAACTACCAGTGGCGCCGCGCTGTGTGAGAAACGAGCCGACAAGCGCGCCAGTGGAGACAAATTAAAGCTGATGGTGAGGAGCGGAAATGCCTTCTTTTGTGTTTATGAGTAATTGTTTGAAATTCAGTGGATGTGCAATCTTTTCGTGATTCACTCAGTGTTATTGATATTTGCTTGGACACTTCTCTGTGACTCGGATTCTAGGAAATTCTCACGAGACCAAAGTAACCTCAGGCATTCCTGAACAGCGAAGACACCCACCGAGTAAGTCTTCCAAACATAAACAAACGGTGTAATTTTCCTGCCTCGAAAGATCATTTCCTGTGAGAAAATCCGGCCACAAAATATGGTATTAGCATTAGTAATTTATTGCGAGATAATCAGAGAAGCATATTTCATGGACTCGATTAGAATGTCACGCTTTCAGACGTCTGCAAATGGATCTGAAACTCATCAAAATTTGTATGGCTTCTGGTGCAAGTTGCTTTGTAATTTGTGATTGCGATAAATCTCCGATAAACTGGCCGGTTGTGGACATTCCAGTGACCCAGTGTTTACTGTAAACCTCCCCACACTTGCCACTCAAGGCGCCTGCAGAGAAGCTCTCTCTCGCTCTCTAAGCTCTGGAGAGATAAGGCATCGACATAGAACAAATAGTGTCAGGCTTTTTCTTCCAAGAGCATTTTCCTCGTTAGAGATAGCGAGATGCTGGTGTAACTCGGACTCTCAGCTCCCTATTTTGGCCTCTGGGATCACTTTGGCACTGACCACCAAGTGGAACAGACTCCAACATGTCCGATCCCACGATTCAGACGTTCTGCTGCCATCACAGGACTCCTCCGGATGGGCCGACCCTGCTGATGGGGGCCTTCAACACCAATAGCTATCTTTTTGTGTGTATGGTGAGCTCGTTTCTTGGTATTATGGGGGCCCATTACCAAATATTTGTGCGCGGCAAACAAGGGATTTTGTCGAACGGAAGACGATTGGCGGAGTCTGGAAATTCAATGAACTCCAATGGTCACAGAGTTATCTTGTGGCTGGCGATTGCGGATTTTTGCGCTTCTCTCGGTGAGTATCTAATCTCCTTTGGCACTTTCTCTGGGTAATTTATTAATTTCAGTATTCTATTTTTAGGAGTTTTCGTCCGTTCTGCCATGTGGCGATACTTTCAGCCCATGATGATGAAGGACGACGATGCCAGTGTCATCTTCTGTGCGGTGACTTCCGCGTGGACGCAGTATTTTTACACCTGCACCTGGCTCTGGACCTTCAGCTATGCCATCAACGTCCGATGTCATCTCAGAGGCGATCATTTCTCAATAAGACGCTACCATGTGATTGTCTGGACCTTCGGGGCTCTGCTTACCAGTGTCGGACTCTCTGTGCTTTACTATCCAAATGCCGAGTAAGTAAATAGCGTTTTTTCTTCACTGTAGATAAATTCTGAGGAAAGTCCAGAAAGAAATACTGAACGTTTGGAGAGATTTAGGGGAAGATAAGGGAATATTCACTGCTCTCAGAGATCGCATGGTTGTTTGTAAATACGCATTGAGAGAGTGATAATTGGGACAAATGAGACCAGCGGCTCAAGTTTAATGTTGGTTTTTGTTTGTCATGCCATCGTCAATGGATTAGAGAGATAGACATTTATTTGCTCTCTTCTCTTCCAGTTGCCAAAATGTGAAGGAACTGTGGACTGCACTGGTAAGAGTCCTGCCCAACTACTGTGCCACTTACCTTCCCATCCTGATTGTGATGATCGGAAATCCGATTATCTACCAAAACTGCAGCAAGATGATCAGCGAGACGTTCATGAGCAGATATACGCGTGTGACTTCACACGAGAGGGAAGTGATGTCGAGATTCAAGTGGAAGTTCTGCTTCATCAACGTCATCTTCTACATCTGCTGGCTTCCCAATCTCATCGGCGGCTTCATCCTCTGGACAGTTTGGGGATCAATTCCAGAGAACATTATGGTCGCCATTTGGTATGCCATGGCAGCTATGAATCCTCTCCAGGCCTTCCTCAACGCCTTCGTGTACAGAAGATGGACTCAGCCGCCTCCAGAGCCGGAGCAGCCGGATCTTCTGACTGAATCTCACCAGGAATCCTCGCCACTCCTCGAGAAATCCCGCAGTTGGCTCGTGAAGACTGAGCCGGAATGCTCGACAAGACTGGAAAATCCGTCGTCACATCGGAAGGCAGATAACTGCTCCTGCTTTTGATATTCCGCGCGAATCTCCACGATTTTCCTTCAGTTGCGTTCAAGCTGTGAGCGCGAAAAGTGTCACAGTGACACATTGCTTCCTCGCCACGCGTGTTTTTTCACAAAATTCTCGAGTGTGTATTCGAAATATTTATTAATTATCACTCTGATAGAGTTGTTGAGTGGTCTGGCTGAACTGCCGTGATCAATTTTCTGTGGATCAATAGAAAAGTCATGGAAATTGGTTTTGCTGACGCAGTTTGAAATGTGAGTTCAGCGATAAGTGTATCAATAATCTTCTTAGAAGAGAAGGTGTGTATTCAATTGCCCTCTTGAAGTTAAATCCTAATGTTTTTGTATTTTAGCTGTACTTTTGTATGAGAAATCATTTGTACAACAATATAAAGAAAGACAACGTATTCATAGATTTATAACAAATGTTTTGGTGTTATTTTCATGTGGTTTATTGCATGCTAGAAAAGCTTTGGAAATGCTCGAGGGTCAGAAATGTTGTGCTGAGTTGTTCTGGCCATTCAAAACCTTCATAAACAATGAGGAAAATTTAGAAAATAATCTTTTTGGATTTTTGTTTAGCTCAAGTGTTTATGGCACAATCCTAATGCAGAAAGCTTCGTGTGTGAGGTGGATTTCCAGCGGAAATATCGATACTTCTGCAGAAATTTCTTATCTCATTTGCTATATTTGCACGATAAGGACCTCATCGAAGCAATTTGCAAATTTTCAAGTTGAGGAAATGGAAAACTTAAGTGTGTCCGGATAAGAAAATGTTTTGTTTTCGAAGCAAAATTCTAGGCAAATTGTCCACGTGAGAAATTTCGGAGCATTTTAAACGTGACAATTATTTTTTATGTATTTTTTTCCATAAAAGTCAGCGATTTTTAGGTCCTTTTTTTATTATCTCGACAGATCTCTGTTTAAAGCTAATCATGCCATGATTTTTTAAAAACCAAGCACGAATGGCGGCGAGACTTCATTGGAGGATTCCGTGGAATTGCTCGCGTCTGACGCGGCTGGAAGTGGGTCGCGGGCTTCCATTGTCACGGATTATGGCACCGTGACAGCTGCTTCCCCCACCACGGCGCAGTGGTGCGATGAGAGCGAAGCAGCTGCAGAAGTGGCCGAGAGGAGCGAGTCAGAACGGTGCGAAGAGAGTCAGAGAGTAGGCATTTGTGATGAGTCGTCCGCAGTGTTGTGTAGCCATCTTGAAAAGTGTTGCAATTTAGGACAATTTCCGCTTCAATTTACCAACTATTCACTGTTTCAATTACCACAAACCCTTTCTCACGCATTAACGTGTACGTACGTGTCACTGTTGGTCTAACGTGAGTGTTGCTTGCGCGTGAAAAGGGATCCGAGAAAGTTGTAGAGTATCTAATTGGAGTTTGGAGCAGAGGCTGCTGTTTCCGGGGAAAAGGAGGACTTCAGGAGGGATCAAGGCATCTATAGTGCGTCTGGACGAGGGACTGAAGACAGGGTACTGAGACCAGGAGTCGCTGGGTGGATAGGAGAGCCGCAACCCAATTATTCGAAAGAGTGTTGTTTTGTGTTGGGAAGTTCTTTGTTTCCATCGCTGCGTCCCGACCATCTGCCCGTGGAGGCTTTTCCTCAGCTCGCGACCAAGGGAGTGCGCCACCGGGGCCGAGTGTCTGTGATCCAGGAGCAGGAGGAGGAGGCTGAGGCGTGAGATTGGGCAGGATTCGTGGGGGCGAGCATTCCCTGGGCCGAGGCAGAGGAGAAGGCGAAAGGAGAAACCATTGGAGTCGCCACATCAGCCAACAACTACAAAGAGACCAAAAAGAGCCACTCGGGCGAGAGCGAGACAGTCGCCGAGTGTCGTGTGATAGAGCGAGAGGCATCCACGGCAACCAGTGTGAGATTAAATGGTGCTGAGGCAAAGTAGGCGAGGCAGAGAAAATCACAAAAAAGTGTGTGAAGAGGACAAAGACAAGAGCCAAGATGAGAGTTGAAGTGCATTCGGCTGCCCAATTCCTCATGAATTTGCTACGGGTGAAGCAGAGCAATCCACTGCCGGAGACTCAGTTGGAGAGCTTCAAGGGGTCTCTTGAGGATCTGCTGCTGGTGCGATACCGCAGCCACTGGTATCCCGAGGTTCCGACGAAGGGCAGTGGCTTCCGGTGCATACGGATCAATGGGAAGATGGACCCCATCATCGAGCAGGCCGCCCTGGCCGTGGGCCTCCATCCGCGCATGCTGAAGACAATGCTGCCGCAGGAGTTGACTATGTGGATCGATCCGGACGGCGTGAGCTATCGGATCGGGGAGAATGGCTCCATCTGCGTGCTGTACGAGGCCGCCCTCGATGCCAGGTCCAGTCCCTCGTCCGACCTGTCCATGTCCAGTGATGAGTTTAGCATGGAGAGACGACGCGAGTGGTCCCATATGACCGTGCTGGGGTATCTGGATGAGCCCTACTCGCGGTCGCCGCGCAGCCAGAATAGCAGCTTTAGCTCGGGCACGGGCTCCAACAGTCCACCGCTGAGCCCCATCCTGGCCCCACCAAACGTCAATCGATACTCGCACATTCAGCGTCATCAGCATCAGCAGATGCATCGAACCGCAGCCAATCGTTCGTACCTCAATCACTGGGATGGAGGAATCAATAACTACAATGTAAGTCGATGTCGCAGATGCCCCCACCTTATCTCTTCTCTCTCTCTCTCTCGCTCTCTCTCTCCAACTCTGACCCTTAGCCGTCTTGCCCATGACGTCAGACGTCATCTCTCCCGCTCATGCAAATGTCTGTACGTGACGGAGAGGAGCAGAGCGTTTTCCCCTGTCTCTGGCACACGGAGCGGAGCACAATGATATTCCGGGAATATGGAGATACACTTTCTGGGCTCCTTTCTGGAAGACTTCTCCCGCGACGGGTGTCGGAATTTTGGCCCACACTGCGCAATTATAGTCACATGAATTTTCGGGCATTTCTCTCGCATTATATCCTCATGAATATTCCGCGTCTGGGAGAGACAAAAGGGTGAAACTGTGTCCAGAGTCTCTCAACCGGAATGCCTCTTGTTTCTTGTTCACGGAATATTAACATTCCGGCGCTATTTGCAGTGAGTCTGAGTCACACACGGCGGGGAGAAAGGTGTTGGGCATTCAGGGGTGCGTACCTGAGGAGTGGCATGTCCAAAATGGCCAAAACTGGCTTCGACCAGTCTAATGAGGGTTATTCTCAGCGTCATTGAGGGTTGATTCATCAATAATTTTGTTGCTTGCTGTGTAATTGCTGTAGCAACAGTTTGTACATGTTTCTCTGCATGGCGTAAAGTCTAGATTGGGAAGCCATCATGTATGTTCGTTGGCTCCATCAGCAGCTATCGTATCTCCATTTCAGCCCTGAACTGCGTTCTTAGCTCGAAGACTCTGTCAAGATCAAAGAGCTACGATATGAGACAAGTGAATTTGTTCACTTCAAACTTGAAATGATATAATTTCTGGGTCGTTTCTTGTGTGATCTCTTCACAGAGAACACTTCATATCTTTCTCTCTCTCCATGTTTAGCATTTTCTCCTAATTTATCGTGTCTCTAAATTACCTTGATGGTATACTTTTTTGTGTGGGCATAAAATGTATACAATGGAGCGCCCGAAGGAGAGAATGTTTGAGAACTCGTCGTGTTTCCTGCGTAGACAACTCGTGTGGATGTTTTTAGCGCTCAATATAATCTCCTCAGTACAGAATTCAATGAAAAACAAACGCGATAAGGAGGAACTGGGGTGGGTAGATTATGATAGTACCAAGTGAGTAATTTTATTGCCAATGGCAGAGAGGAGAGAGGAATTTCTCTGTAATTTGATATGTTATGTGAATGTTTCAGCGTGCCTCCAATTATCAATTCAACGTGCCGTTTGAGGAATATAGAAAAATTATTCATGGATCTTCTTCACATTTTTTTTGTGTTATTTAAAACTCACAGACGAACTTATAATCCAATCGTATTTCGTCTCAGACGTTGACTTTACCTAATGGGATTAGGCTGTAATGAAGTTTAATCGATAGAATGGAAGAGATTATTTCAATTTGTAGTGTTTCTCTACACATGTTTAATCCATTTTATAGAGTGTGTTTTTTTTTCCCTCGAAACAACGCATCACGATATTTCACTAGTGATGTCATTGTGGATTGAGTGAGGGGAGGATTACGTTCAACATGATGTGTAAATGTGCGAAAAACTATCCATTTTTGGTGAATTTCAAATTCAATCATGTTGTTTTGTTGGTCAAAATATTTCATGGTGAGTTTCTTCAACTTGAATTCCTGTTGGGGAAAAATCACTGGTGATGAGTAAGCTGTGCTAAGGCAAAGAACGTCTCGAAATCAACAACAAACTTTGCCAAACGTGTCGAGTAAGGAAAAAAAAACTTATGAATATTAAATTTCGGAACGGTATGGCTGAGATTTGTTGTTGTGTTGATACATAAAATTAGGCATTCCAATATAATCAACATCAGACTCTGTCTATAGCTTGTATTTCGTCTCACTGAACGTAAACATGCGAATTATTGCGTATTTCAACTATTCCATGTGTGACAATTTGAAATATTTTCCCGACTTGTTTCTATTAACTGCCCATTCTGGAAAAATTCTCACAAGTTGGGTAAAGAGTTGTCGTCTTATTTTGCTGTTTTGCATCATCTCGCTGACAAATAGTCGACATTTCAATCGTGGGGCTGTATAGTACGATTTTATTCATATATGAAAAAAAAGCCAAAAGAAGCGAATGAGTTGATTGTGAAGAGGGAGATCCACAAGTTGTGGAGATGGAGTCGTATGTGCAAAAGTGGGAAAACATAGTAAAATATGCAAATACTCTCCCAACAACAATGGTATGATACATCAAATAGTGTAGTTGAGAGCTTGATGATTCAATTTTTTTTGCGTGAAAAAAAGCTGGAGAAGTATGAAAAAAAAAACGTGACGAATTCGAAAGTAGCACCAATTTTTATTATTGTTATAATAATAAATAAATACAAAGAGGCTGCTTCTTTTTTGTCATCGTCACACCATTTAGCGTGTATATTCATAAATGAATTTCGCGTCATGAGGAAAAAAAGGGGGACTTTTTGTGCAAAATAAATTGGTTTTGAGAGAAATTTTTCATTACCCAGCGTGAGCTTTTTCTATCAATTTGATTTGACTTTAATTGATCATATTTATATAAGACATACATGGGGTATTGGTGCTCTTAGTGTGAGACACAAGAGATAAATTTATGCTTATGTTCAATAACAAGTTTTTTCTAATAGCACAAAAATAAGTCCAACAGTATCGCGTACATGGGCATTATCTTGGCAGTTTTTTTTATAGTGCTGTGCGGCTGTGCCTTTTCACATTTCTCTTCTGGCTGCAGAGGCACTAAAAAGCGACGAGGAGCGCCTCAATGGGGGCTCTCTGGCGGGGCGGAAGGGCGGAGAGAGCAGGAGAAAATTGACATGGGACAAACAAAAGGCATACAAATGACGAGAGGTGAATTATCAAATATTATTTTAAATTGGAGAAGTTGTGGTTTTCAGGGGGTTATTCATTTGACGGAACCCATAAATGTGGTTTCGACATGGTTTTCACCAAAAGCACACAATGACCAATTTTTTTTTGTCCACTTTTGGTGTATTTCGGGCAACATTGTGCGTTTTGGAGGGGGGAAAAGTGTCGCGAAATTATCAATTCAATTGTCCTCCAAAGTGAATGTAAATAAAATGATCTCAAAATATATCTTTTTGATGTTGAAATGCTGAACTGAAATTGTATTGTGAAAGATGAATTTCTTTTTTTATAAATAGCTCAATGTGTGACAATGGGTTAAGTGACTAAATTTATCGATTGCAGCGTGAACAGGACACGTTGTTGATTCAATGCGTAAGCAAATAACTTTGTTTACTTCATTTGCTAATGCAAAACCAGTGGGTTTATGGTGTGAGAGGCTAATTCTAGACTTCTGGTACATGGAAATAGCATTCACTTCCTTTTGCGCCGCTAAAAGCAATGCGCCCGGAAACTGAAGCGACAATTCCTCCGGAGGAGGTCCAGAAATTTTCCACAAAGCGATGCAGTATAAGAGTTTCCTCAATGAATAACCTTCTGCTGGTCTCTGGCTTTTTTTCTCTCCGTTCCCTATCTCACTCTTACCATCGCGACACTCCTCATCAAAGCCATATTGAGAAGATATGAGAGTAACAGCACACACATAGTGGCAAAATACAGAAAGAGAAAGAGCTGCAAGGGGCTGCGAGGGGCTTCTGAGGTTGAAAAACATGGGAGAGAACCCGCATCACGAATTTATATCAATATGCGACGTTGAGAGTGGTTTCGTTAGACTTTATAGTATGTTTTGGGTCTCTCTTGTATTTAGACTTGCCTTTGCTTTTTCGTCTTTTTCTTGACTTGACTTTATAAATATGAGTGTGTCGATGCGGGGAGAGATGCAAAGAGCGGAGAGAGAGAGGGAGAAAAAAAAAGATTTTTCGAGAAATAACCGGCTATGGGCGAAAAGGCAAAAAGTATTTAATTCACACAAACACACACTCTTTGAGAGGCGCATGAGAAGACGACAGAGGGAATTATTACATGGCTGTCGAGGCGAATAAGGCAGCAAAATTGCGACGCAATTTTTCACAAATTGCTCCACAACATTTAGAGAGGAAAAACTACACCATAAAATTGACCACCACTTGCCAAGTATGTGAGCATGGTTGAGAAAATGGCACGTTTTTTTTTTACAGTTCTCTGTGTGGTGTAGATTTTTCTGGGGGATTCAGGAGCATAAGGCCTAAATCCGGTGGAATTTTTAGTCTTTTTCTGCGTCTGGGTGGTAAATATCGTATTTCATGGGCTGTCTGAGAAACCGATTTAGAGAGACAACACAGGAAAAATGTGGGGTGAAGAAAGGTCGGAAGGAGAGACAGAAAGAGGGAGAGAAGAGAGAGAGAGAAATTTTCTTGTAAACAGTAGCACTTTTCACTATGTACAACATTATAATCTCTTTTGCAGGATCAACTGATTTCAATACGTCGATAATTGATGCAAATTACATTATATGATGACCCACCGTCCAGCGTAAACAAGTGAAAATGATGAAAAGACACAAATATTATTGTGAGAACGAGAGATAAATCATCATTGATCCCATTGCATTAAGATTTAAGAGAATGATGATAGATGTTTTTGCTATAAGTTAAGCGATGAGAATGAGGGAATGGAAAAAAGTGCGATTGTAATGAATATATTTCTATTTTCTAAGTGAGGAGAAGGAAAAAAAATGAGAGGGGGAGACAAACTACCATCATACAATTGAAAGTGAATAATTGCGAATTGTGCAGAGAAGAAGAAGAGAGAGAACACACATTCTAAAATATGTATTTGATATAAAATGTTAATTTGTATGACGTCTTTTTGCATTAAGATGTGCATTGGAGACTGTTATGTGTTGCACCAGGCGCAAAATATATTATTTTGTAGAGCGAGAGTTGAGGATTAAGGCCAGGAGGGTAAATGAATCTGTGTATATTAAGAGATATGAGTCCAAATTTAACTAAAAACTCCTTTAGCATAGACCTGATAATAAATTTGTATAGAATCGAATCTTTATATTTTTTTTCTTCAGTCACGCATTTATTTTATTGATATTTTCTGTTCGTCGATAGATTTATACATACATATACCTGAAAAGTACACTTAAAAGCCAGGCACAAATGTTTAATTTGTAAGAAAAGAAGAGGGTACAAAAATTCTTTAAGTCACGAGGAAATGATACACTTGATCAAATTGTTATTGGTATTCAATATCGAGGGTGGGAAGGCGTTGAGGTGAATGAATAATTGATTCAATATTTTCCAACACTCATTCTACTATTCTATTGATAAGATTGATCTCAAGTTCTTTTTTTTATAATGGATTCTCTACAATTTGTATCCGTGAGAAGCAGAATGAGCACGAACGCGTTTGAGTGGAAAAACATTCTGACGAAACTCATGTGAGCTTTTACAGATACTTCCCGGTTTTACGCTGCGGAGTGTGTTTAAGAGCAGAATGTGTTTCACGATGGAAATAGCTACTTTTCCCACTCAATGGCTTTTGCCCTTTCTGTCAGTGAATATTTTTCTACGTAAAATGACTACATATATATATATATAGTTTACAATGCAATTTTCACCGAGACAAAATTATTTGCTGAAATTCTCTGTGATTTATTTACCTTTCTATCTCCACCACTAAAGCATATCGCAGGAGAAATTCGTTGCAGAATTTCTCTCAAGACCTGCAACGTGATGGAGAGAGAAATGATAAAATTGTGATAGTCCCAATAATGTTTTAATCAATGTGTATCTCAGCAAATTCACGTTTAGTCGCTAACAGAATAATAAAAAGCTTTCACTTTTTCACTCCTACCCTGTGACACAATCCATAATTTACATTAAATTTCGTTTCTTAATTATATCTTTCTTTCCTTACGTAGTGGAACTCAGATACCTGACAGAATGTCCTTTGATTGTATGAGGAAAAGGGAGGTGGATTTTAGCGAAGGGGCGGCTGTGTGTGGTTTTGTGCTTGTTTTACGCCCCTGGGAAGAACATCTCCTGGTTAGCAACAAAGTTCCTAAAATTTTTCTTTAGAGAACTGACTTTTCTTTAGAAGAAGAAGAACCTTGATAATTTTTTTTTCTACAAAAACAAACGAACCCACAAAAGACGGAAATCAGCATGTACGTCAGTGCTTGTAAAACAGAGATATAATATTATATTACATGTATAAATGAAATAAAAGAAAACCGAATTAGGAATGATACGAAGACCTACAAAAATTCAGTGTTTATTGCACAAGTTCTAGTGAAGAAAAGAGAATAGAGTGACGAATATTCGCTTTACCTGCCATTTTAACCTGTAATTTGTGAGAAGTGAGGAAAAAATTGTAACAAACAAGTGTGTTAACAATACAACAAACAAGATTTTAAGAGAAATGAGAGAATATGTAAAACGCTTTTTCTAGTTTATATGAACATAATAGAAATTATTTTACAAAAGAGGATAAAATTAGAATTTTTCTAATGGAACAACAATAAGAGAAGATTAAACAAACAATTACTAGGAAGTTTAGTGGAAACGGAATGTGATAATATCAAATTTTTATTGATTATGAAATTATATTGATAAATTATAGGTTTTTTCGAGGTGACAAATTGAATTATTGATGAGGACAAAACTTTATAAATTGACGAAAATTATCAGGATTATTACAAAAAGAAAAAAAATACCCATTCCTAATCTTATGATGAGAAAACACTGAGAAATCTTTTACAATTTTTACTAAAATAACGCAACACACTGTCAAATTTGAGAAATATTTGAGCTTAACTCACAAAAAATCATTCAGAAAAATAATAGACAAGAAGTCATTTTCATTTGCTTCACTGTTCAGAAATCATTAACGAATATCTGATAATTGAATTTTTTTTGTAGGTAATAAAAATAAAATACTATCACATTCGCAACATGAGAAAATAGCGGAGAGACACATAAACTACTTAAGAAGAATCCCAAAGCGAAAAAAACACATGAGAACCTTAACGTTTTAAACATAAGATGTTACAAAAAGAATGTACAAAAGGATGCTGTAAACGAATATGAGGAGGAGAGGTGAAACACCACTGTGATCTTTTATTTTTTTTGCTTTTGGATGTAGGGCGAAAATTGTGAGAAAGACGAAGAGAAACTAAAGTGGAACGAGGAAGGACTTAAAATTTGATAGTTTCATCTGTGAGAGAAAAACACAAAGGAGAAAAAAGTAGTATTTTGACATGAAAAGAACTGATCAAAGACTTGTGTAATCTTTTTTTTTATTTCTTTTTATTTATATACGTAATGTAATATTAAAAGAAGATACCCACTAAAAAAAAGATGAAAGGATATTTTATATTGAATATGTATTTTGGAGGAAATGTGGAAGGAAAAGAAAATTATTCATTACATGAGAAAAGGCATGAAGAAGCGTGGAATTAGATGGATTGCAAAGGAAGTGAGGATAAATCATAAATGCTGAAATGACTCTTACAAAAAGATAAAAAAAAAACAAGGACTAAGGATTTATATTGACGTGGCTAATGATAAACGGAAGAGCTCTTGAAATATAAATGAAGATAAAAGAAAAATATAATAGTAGAGAAAGAAAAAAAAAATGAAATTAATCTTTAAACATAACTTTAAAAAAAAAACATGGAATTTAACTATTTAAGAGGCAGAATTTAAATCAAAATTGAATTTTCCGGGTGTAGACTTTTCATTTTTCAATGTGGTTTTAATATTTTTGAGTAATTTTTTCCTATTTTTTTCTAATTCTTTTGAATGTAATTCCTTATTGCCCCTTTTTCCCCAAGTTGTGAGTAAATAAAACACCAAATCACTATCAGTGATGACCACAGAATAATATATATATATATACCTATATATTACAAAATGAATTGAGAAAAAAACCTTCCCGTACAAATTAATTTTGCTAATTAACTTTGAAATAATTTTTGCTTTTTAATGATTTTTTATAGTAGTGATTTAAGTCGTAAAACATGTAATGATTGTACATATTTAAGAAAGATGATACAAAAAATGTGGATGAAGAATCGAGGATAAATCGAGATAATTTTAACAAGATATACATATAAATTATAATTTTTAATCTTATATATTTCACAATTTCCTTTTTTCTCTTATATATACAAAAAAAAATGAAACTCCACTATATAAAAGTGGAGTATTACAAAAATTCAAACGGATTTTATTTCGATTGTAAGTCATTATATAAAAAATACGATAAAAAAGAATATTTGTAAAGAATATGAAGAAAAGAATAAAAAAATATGAAGCATAATGAAGTTGTGGCGTTTGTATTGAGATCGCGCGGGGTTGGGTTCATGTGAGTTCATCAGAATATTGCCAATGTCGGGCAACTGCCAGTCACATGGCTAAATACAATTGCGTGTAAATGATTTCATCTCGCCTGTTGCCAACGACGATGTCACAGTGGATCGGCGATCGCGGGAGCACTGAGCGCACAATCTTCGTGCACAGACGCCAATATTTGGCTTTCCCATGCAAATAATCGTGCTTCTCGCGGGCTGATGCGCGTTATGAGGTCACTCGCTATCGCGATCAGTGCATTTGGTGATCTTTCGCGATCTCACAGCAAAAGTAATATTTCTTCTCGTTGTAGTGATCGCGGGAGGATGTCATGGGGCGGTCCAAGAGGAGAGCCAGAAGACCCGCCAAAACGGTGATCCTCACGATTGTGTCCAAGGATCACGGGACGATTGTGAGTGTGGACAAGGATCGTCTTGTGTATCGAGCTGAAGGGAATGCCAATCTTGTGCTAGCCATTCCGGACCTCAAGCAAGTGCTGCGGCTGCGGAAGTCACCGCCCAAAGACAATGAGAGATCCACGGCGATCGAGCATGTGATCATGGTGACGGAATATGCGAGGATTGTGTCGTCTCTCTTCTCTGAATGCTTAACAATCGAGCCGAAGCTGGTCTTGCTGAGGATTCCCAACTACGACTCGCTCAACAAGTGGCTCAATCAATTCAGGCCATCTGCAAGGTGTGACAAAGAGATCAGATGTCGAGCAGGAATTCTGTACCCTGATCTTGCGGTTCTTCGACGGGATCTTCTCCCTCCTGCTGTACAGGTTGATTATCCTCCCTTCGCGTGAATCTACCTGGATATCAAGGCTCTCTCTATCTCTCAAATTCCAGGTAACTGGAGACACCTTTTGTGTCGAGATCAAACCGAAGCAGGGATGGATCCATCCCGAATCCACCCTGAATGCTCTCTTTCCCGAGTGCAATTCGAAATTGTGCCGCTTCTGTGCCATGCAGTATCTGAAAGTGAGTTGTAAAATTTTGCAAAGGCAAGGAAAAACTATGAGAGATCACATTTAATGATTCCACGCAAATTCTGTTTAATTGCAGCTCGTTAAAAAGACGATAAAACGTGTCAGTAATTACTGTCCAATTGACTTATTCTCTGGGTAATTGAGATCGATCTTTTTCACTCTCTCACGTGTCTCTCGACGTGCTTCTAATTTCGCCTCACTCTCTCTATCTCTCTCTCTCTGCTCAACCAGCGATCGCGATCGTATGCTGAGGGCTCTACGTGGACTCGTGGAGACGCCACAGAATAACTTTCGCATGTGGAGAGCCGGACAGCTGATCTATGGCGATGCGATGGACGCTGGATTCCGAGATGCTCTCGAAGAAACCATGCATCAGGGTGACTTCTTACAGTAAGTCTCTTGGCAATATCACGCGCTTTTTTGCTTTCGTGCAAATCAATTGAGGTCAGCAGTTGTCTCACTCGATAGCGCTTTATGGTGACTGATCGCGAGCAGCGCGCGAGAGAACTTTGGCATGGGCAACCTTCTGCTTGCCACGAGACAAAGAACGATAAAGACGCTACAGTTGCACTTTCTTTGTCCACCTCTTTATCAGGCCTTTTTTTCGTGGGGCTCTCAAGATTTAGCGCCTCGTGACGTGAAGCAGGCGAGGCACTTTGTGAATCTCTCTTTTGCTGCTTTTGTGTGAATTGAGCAAACTATTGAAACAGGAAGCACTTGAAAGCGCATGGCAATGACTTCACATGCAAAGTTTGTTCTTGAAGACTTCAGGGAAGAGGTTTTGTTGATAGGGAGGAAGTATAATAATATTGCTTTCATTTATAGCAAAGTCAAGAGTGGAAGTCTTTTGGTGAAATTTCAGTTCAAATCAAAAAGCTCGACACTAGAAATTTCTATTGTTGTGTGTTGATTTATTGTGCTGTGTATAGAATTGTAAAAAATGCATTCATTGACCCCAGTACAGATATTTTTCGCTGATAAGCTATCAGAACATTTCTAATGTTGTGGGGAAAATTCAAATAAATTCACTATTAAAGCAATGAGAAAAATTTGAGGCATTCGAAATGCGATAAGAGCCTTTCTCTTTATCTTCTAGGAATTTAGATAATTTCTTACAACTCCTCTTGGAAGCCATACTCAAAGACTACACAGGTGAAGATGTGCCAAATGCAGATCATCAGCTTCCAGCCGGAAGCGTTCTTCAGCAAATCCTCACTGCTCAACTCTTCGCGAGGGATAATCTCTCAATCGCCATGGAAAAGTCAACTGATGAGGAACACTCCTTTGCGAATATTGACAGAATTCTGGCAAAGACTTGCGACAACCCCTCAGAGGATTGGCTGTCGTCTCTGGATGGAGTGGAGAAGTACTTTCTCGGTGCCACCGCCCTCGATTGCTCCCTGATGATGACATTCCAAAAAGTCGCTGCCGGAGACACAGAGGAGAAGCACACAATCCATGTGGCTGGCGGGAAGTTCATAGTGTCCATGACAGTGATGGATTTGGATCCCAAAGCCGATTCCCATCCATTCAAGTATGTTAAACAGACAAGGATGTCGTACAACGCGCACAGCGATTTTGTTGCTAGCGGCTAAAAATAGTTTTAAACAAGTATTATCTACTAGAGAAGGACGAATAAAGAGGTTTTTGGAAGAACTTTTGGGAGTTGTTGTGAGAGCTCAAGTGTCCTCTTTCATGTTGCGAGGAAAATTCGATGGGGAAAGGCGTAGACGAGAAATGACTCCTTGTCTCGCTGTTTTATGGGCACTCCCTCGTTTTCCTGATGCGACTCCAATCGATTACGAGGTGTGGATGAGTCGCTATAGCGACTAAAGGGTGCGTCAGCTTACGAAATGATCGGAGAGTCATTTCTGTACAATCCTTTGGCCAGAAAAGATGGGCAACAAAGTGGCCATCTTCACTGACCAGCAACTCAATGACTACCAAGTGAGTGAGTATGTGAATATGTTCAGCAATTATCCCATCTTTTGGTTTATCTTTCCAGGATTGCACCTTCTTCACCAGAAAGGAGATATTGAGAGTGCATAAACGCTTTAGGGACATTCGTCCGGATCTCGTGCCGAAACAAATGACTGAAGGAGAGGCGTCAACGGTGAAAATTCCACGAGAATATATTGAAAAGTTGCCAGAATTGAGGGAGAATCCCTTCAGGAAGAACATTTGTGAGGCATTCTCGAGAGATGGCCAAGGAAATCTCACTTTTGAGGATTTTCTGGATCTCTTATCAGTGTTCAGCGAACAAGCGCCACGAGATATTAAGATATTCTACGCCTTCAAGATATACGGTGAGAAACAACATAATTTCAGGGTTTGGATGAATCAATATAGTTAAATTTATCTTTCAGACTTCGACAAGGATGGCTTTATTGGACAGTCAGACCTGAAAGGTGTGCTGAAGGCACTCACGCGAAATGAATTGACTCCCGAGGAGCATCAGCAGATCGCTGATAAGGTAATAGAGGAAGCCGATGTTGATGGTGATGGGAAACTGTCTGAGCTGGAATTTGAGCATGTCATCCTGCGAGCGCCAGATTTTCTCACAACTTTCCACATTCGCATTTAAAGAGCATTTAAAGAGCGCCAGCAACAAGTGAGAACAGTTTTCCGCGAGTGGTTGAAATATTGGCTATGCTTCTGTTACCAAAGTCAGTTGAGTTTCTACGAGCTAGAGACAGAGGCGAACTAGTGGTGTTGTTACAATTTTCCCTCCCTTGTTGAATTGCACGAGCAGATGTACAATTTTCTACCTATTCAATCACTGTCCCCTCGTGATTTCCACAAGTCCGCTGAGTTCAGTGAGTTCAGTAGAGTCTACTCCTGAAATATTCTTTTATAGTGCCACCAGCAACCCTTCCCGCCCAGAAAGTGCGACAGATATTACATAAGTTATGCGAAATGGGTGGAGGTTTAGTTGTGAAACGTCTTGGAGGAATTTACCATAAGCCCGCACCTCGCTTTTATCAGATTCCTCAATTTCCTCTGGGACATCAGAGCGAGGCGAGAAGGCAAAAAAGGGTCTTCGAATGGGTTTTGTGCTTGCGAGACATTTAACACGCGTCTGGCTTCAACGGTGCATCCCAAAGCAATCTTGTTTTCTATTTTTATGTACACTCGAGACAAAAAAGTACGCGCATTTGTGAGAAATATTTAGATCTTTCTATGGAATCCAATCGCCACTTGTGTTTATCATTGAGCGGTCGAATGGAACATGAATCACTGACGACTGCTCGAGTGATGCCGTCCGGAAGGTTACCTGCAGAGATGTGTGAATAATTTAACACAGAGAACGGAATCACTGGCATGCATTTCCCATGGATAAAAGATGTGGCCAATTTTTCCTCCCAATATCGATCACATTCGGGAAGCTCTCAGAGTGTGTCTTCGTCCGATAACATATCGTGGCGGCAGTTAGTGCCATGTTGCCCAACAAGGGAACAGCAAAGTGATGAAATCAAGGACGAAAAATGAGGTCTTAAACGGTTTGCTTTTCCCTTCTCCTGGAATTATTGATAAATCTTAATGGCTATCAGAAATTATGAGAGGCATCAAAAGTATAGAATAAATATATACGTGAAATTGTTCGAAATCTCTCTTTATGCCCTGCTGAAATCTTCACTCAATGCTCCCCAATGGGTCTTTTGTTGCGGTAAAGCCATAGCAATTTTTGCGGATTTATCGGACAATTGCGACCCATTTGGGAATTTTTATGGAAACGCCAGCATATTCACACTGATTCTTGCATTATCTCCAGTGTGTTTACACTCTTCGCCATCGACACGCTACATTTGATTGCATAATATGATTTCTTTATCGGTCAACGGATTGAATTGTGGAATTGTAATGAGGTGACGATTATAACTAGGCCAAACATATAAAATTCAGTCAAATTTTAAGTCGTTTAGTGATGGTTTTAAAGACTGTCTCCATGATGTTATCACTTTTGAATGGATGATTAAGAATTCGTCTGCTCCAATTTTTAAGAAATCCAAGTATAAGTCATAGTGAAGATAAGGAAATGCCAAGGAGGAAATATCACAGCCAAACAGTGATAAAACCATGGTTTTGCGATCGTTATAGCCGAAATCGTTGAGAGTTTGTCTCCTTCTTCAAGAACAATGAAATTCACTTAAGGTATTCCAGTGTATTCAGAACATTAGGAGAGAATTTTCCTAATGGAACTGCCAACACGAAAACTCCTTATCACGATGGAGGGCTATCAAAAGTCTGCGGAGCTGAGCGTGACTCTAATTAGTAATGTGAGGTTCTGTGATGAGTATAAAAGTGCGAATGTACAAACAGCCCAACAGATTTTCATCGTATTTTCTCTCATTTAAATAAAATCTAAGACACAATTATGTTCACTTGATAATTTTATACTCAATTTCATCCACTATTGGGTCATCATTGTGTGGGTTAGTAACTAAAATAACTAATGTTTTATCAGAAGAACATTCCCAAGATATACAAATTTGAACTAACAAGAAGCACATCTGAAATGAAACCAGGCAAATACCACGCATTGAAATCAAACAACTTAATCAGAAACCATTACATATTTTGCAAACCAAATATTTGCCATCAAATTAACTCAGAGTCATGATTCAAGGGACTCAAAAACAGCAAATGTGTCTCCCATTTGGCGGAAATGAGCGGCACTTGAGGGAATGGCTGGTGAAAAATGGGCGTTGGGAAAAGCGATGCAGTTGGACTTTTCAAAAAATATAATTATGAGCACGAGAGAAAGGAGCAGCTGAAAACAGATGTGAAGAATGTTGGCTGATGTTCCTTCGCCAGCACATCTGTCCCCTGTTCGGCGCATGATAAGGGAGTTTCTCTGCACATTTTTAACGGCTGCATTACACATACAGCCGTAAAGGTGAGGAGCGATATGAGTTTGAGGCGAGTGGTTTGTGAAATATTGGGAGGGGTTCTGTGACGAGTGACTCGCGCTTCCCCGGTTCGATTTCTGTGTCGCTCGAGCAGTTCTTGGTGAGAAGCGCGCGCAGAAGCACAGAAGATATACCTTTATTATTTTAGTGGCTTTTTTTCCGCGTGTGAATTTTTCGCAGTGCCTCTTGCCACAGTGGATTATCCGTGAAATGCTGGAGAATTGAAACTGCTCAACTCAAAGTCGAATTGGTGAGTTTTGGTGTTGTTTCAGTGTCCAATCTGTGGCCAGATGTGCTCAATTCGCCGGTGATCAGTGAATGGAACCATCGACGCGTGCCACAATTTTTATGCCCTCTCGCATGTGAAGCATAATCTACGTGAAAAGCCCTTCTCGTGGGAGTGTTTTTTGCTCACCGCTTTGCCTTCCTCACTGCTTTCCGGAAGATTGATGTCTTTCTGGAGAATTTTCAGTCCTGATTAGAGTGTCTTATTCACACAGACCCTCTCCATTTAATTATCCAACAAATTCCCTACTATTGTCCTCGTGAGTTCAGAATGTGAGAAAAGACACCTTCATCTTTTGCTAATTTAAACCCTTTCTTCTGATTAATCCGCTCTTTCTTGCGGAATTACCCGGATTCCGATGTCGGTGTCTTGTGAGATGTCTCACCTGCTTCATAGCAGAACCTTCCACCTGGGATTAGGCCGAGTGTCTCAATCAGAAAATGTTTGTGACTGTCGAATTATAATAATTTATTTAACTCAGCGTGTCCGAGATTCCATCAGAGTGATGTTGTCGTTTTCTCCGTGTGTTTTACATTCTAATTCTCTATCAATGAAGAGATGATAATTTTGAGCTGAAAGAGCGCCTCTGATATCACCTCGTGAGTCAATGATTCGTGGAAGGGAAATGAATTTGAAATATAATCTTGCGCAGAAGTGAATTATTGTATTTCTTTTGATGACTGTGCGGCAATTTATTTTGGAAATAGATCGGTTCACACGGTTTCTCGGTTAATGAACTTTTTGATGTTTTTTACGACAGTCATTACTCGAGAGACACTTATCTAATGAGCGGCGATTTCTTGTCAAAATATTTTATTGGTTAAGATGTATTCACTAATTCACGCTGTTTTCTGGTCAATTTAATTACCGGCGTCACTACAATCTGCATTTTTGAAAGTATTTTAGTTGCTTTTTCGTGACTAATCATTTCGCAAAGGCGCAGTGAAATCTAATAAATAATTTGTTTATACACGTCTTTGTCGCTTGAGTTATTGTTTTCCTGGAATTCTTAGCTTCTGAATGACTCTTAACAATTAAATACAAATGAGATTCTCTCAAAGTGACTCTGCGAACACGTGCAGAAGCATCGTGGCGAGCTTAAAAGGCTCCCAGATAGAGAAATCAGCTCTCGAACGCAATGCACTTTTATGGGACATGAATGGGCAATTGTTAGCCATATTGCAAATGCACGAGAAGCTAATCAATGAGTTGTCCTATAGTGAAATTTCACTGGGAAGTAAGCGGCTGATTAGTCACTTTCAGATGCTCATTGATCACGCAGCGTTGAGAGTAATTTTGTCTTCTTATGACTCGTTAAATTCCACGAGAGTGAATAATATTTCTCGATTCTCATCTCGTATGGAAATTGTGGCTTGCAAAACATTCCCGGGCATTTGTGATGGGGAATTTTGGAGTGTGTCTTCTATTTTTGATTTAAATTCCAGACTCGTGTGGCACTGTGAGTTGAGACAGAAAATATTGCCACTGCCACTCGTGCAGAATATGTAAGAAATTGCTGTATTTTACTCAAGATCATGTTTTTTTTTCTCTTTAAATTTACAGCAGGTGAAGTGAACACCTCTGGGCAGACACGCGTTTTCCGGGTGCCATGGAGAATATGGGGAAGAATCGCTTTCACAGAACACAGAGCAAGGTGTGGTGGACGAGTGAGCCACCGTCAATTTATGATATGCTGACGCATCAGCAGCGCGCCAATTTGTCGCCAAACACATCGGATGAACGCCACGGAAGCCCTCAGAGCCACAAGAGCCAAGATTCGGGCTTCTCAGATGCCGACACATCGACTAGGAACTGCCTGGAGTCACCTGAGAATTCCCCACGGAGCAAGTTGACGCCGAAGAAGGACGTAAATTCGCAGATTAACGAGCACATCAACCTTTCGAGGACGCCCTCCTCCACGGAGAGTGATAAGAAAACCCCGCCGACAGTGATTCGGCGGAATGTCGACTGCTCTGTCAGAATGCCACCCATGAGGCGCATCTCCTTCTCAACGTCAGAGGATGAGGGTGACAGCATCAAGACGAGGAAGAATTGTAGCCTCGTTAGGGGGAGAATCGTTCAGAAGACACCCAGTCGCAATCTCATCGGATATCTCTCGCCTGTCACCAGATCCCCTGGCGATGATATGCTCCACAGTGCTCCTAGTCAATCACCGAGGAATTTCCCACCTGGAAGCACTTCCACGCCACATAGCAGCCCCACCGACGCTCGCCAGCGTCCGCCTGAGATGAATGTGAGTCAGGAGAGCGCCCTGCTCATGGGACACTCCCTATCTGTGGAGCACTGGGTGGAGAACCTCCGCACGGAGTACTGCCACGAGGTTCTCTCCACACTCCAGAGCAAGTCCATTGCAGCAGAAGTCACGAAAGCCATGAAGATGAATGCCACACTCGCGGCTCGACTTATTAGGCATTTGCAAGCCAAATCCGTGGATCTGGAGAAGACTTTCATTCAGGTGAGAAATGAACTCAAAAGAGCTTAGTCATTTTCATTAAATTTGCAATCAGATTAATTCTTAAAGTCGAATGCTTAATTAGCGATATTCTATAATGCAAACAGCGCATGTTGACATTATTTTGTCTGGGTCAAATTACATTTTGTAATAATATATGTAAATTCATCGGTGAAATTGTGCAATTAAGCAAAGTGAATGAAGACTCTTGAAAAGTGAATTGGTGGCTTGATTGCTGGTAATTTGCGTTTGTCAAATTCTCCAGCTGTATGAAAAAAATTTCAGAGGTAATTTTTCCTTTTTTGTGCTGAATTTTGTCAGGAGAGCACTTTGAATTTGAAATCAATAGATTTCGCATTGCACGTTTTTGCTCACGCAAATGTCGGGGATAAATTCATGATAGGCATTTTTTTGTACACAAAATTGTACACAAATCACTTTTATTGATGAATACGAAATTGTCGTGAAAAGGTGCAAGCCAAAAAATTGTGATAAATGATTTCGCAGGTTTTTTGCTCTGACAAGAACTTCTTCAGTGGGCGTGATAAAAACTTGCCCTCTTTAATTTAATACACCTTTCATTGGAAGCATCATTTCTGAGAACTCTAACTACAACTTGTGAATTTACAAGCATCTTATATCGACCACAATTTGAAGTTAATTGCACAGACACGAAGTTTGGGGGTAACTTTTCCTTCAATCGAACACTTGCTCAATGTAGTTAAGGCTGAGACTGAGTTTATTGATCCCTTTGCAGGTGGAGACGCTCCTCAATGGCGCCGGGAGTGAAGGTGAGAGTTTGCCACACGCCATGGGATTACTGGCAGACAACGTTACCGCCTTCGTTGATTACCTGGAGCGGAAGGTGTCACATGAGGTGAAGGACTTAAGCGATTGCCTCGTGAATAACCGTGACATGGTGGCGGATCTGCGAGGAGCCTTGCCAAATATCGATGATTTCGAATTGGAATCTCTGCTCGAGGATATTCAATTGCTGAAGAGATGCGTCCTCATCACTGTGAGGAAGGTGTTCGAGGGACTGCTAAGGATCATCGTGGCGAGCATTGAAGATAGCAGGAATGATCTGATTTTGAGGGCGAATCTCTGGACGGTTTCCATGCTGTCCAACTATGAGTACAGAGGATTTTCCTCTCTAAATCCTGCCTTCGAGGCTTGCGACACTGTCCGAGTGCTGCTGCTGGTCGTCGTGGAGTCCGCTTTCCCATCTATCCGGGCTTTGGCTCTCAGAGCTTTGGCCAGTGTTTGCTCGACGGAAGTCACTATTCGGCAATTGGAACAGTCAGGGGGAGTGGAAATCGTAGCGGAAGTCATCGGTCATCGCGACGTTAAGCGCACTGAGCCTGAACTCAGAGAAGCTGTGTCCGTCTTGGCACAGATTACTGCTCCTTGGCATGGAGACACCCACAAATTGAGAGATCTGCAAGAATGTCTGGAGTTCCTGGTTGAGAATATTACTGGTTAGTGCACTTCACACTTCTGTCTAATGACTTTTCATATCTTTACCCTCATTAATCTTCCAGATCTCGCTTGCTGGACAAAATGCTGCCAAACTCTGCTCCTCTGCACGGCGTGTCTGAATAATTTATCTCGCCTAGAAGCCGCATCTATCTACTCTCTCATGGCCCATGAATCAATTGGGAGAGTTCGCAGAGCCATCGAAAGTCGTGGACCAGCTGTTTCCATCTTTTTACACGTAAGCACCGAAATTTAATAAGTTTCCCTTCAGAGTTGGCGGTCGAGATGCTCCTCCTTCCGGGTAGACAGACAATTGAGTGAGAATTTATGAGTGAAGTTTTGTCACAGTCTACGTTTTTACGTCTCGAAATGCAAATAGTATCTCAATTCTTCACAGCCTGAAAACTTTATAAAAACACCAACAACAGTTTAAAAGTAACTTGTTGATTTTAGGACTTTCAATTATTCATTTTTCCCATTACTCTGTGATATCTTTCATTTGTAGGTTTTTTCCAAGAGTTTTCACTTAATTTATGCGTTATCTATACTCTTTGTCCGCCAACTCTGCTTGTCAATCGAACCATCTACTCCCTAATCTCAGATATCTAAATGCCTATTACGCTTTTCTCATCCTCATTTAGGAGCAAATGACGAGCGTTATTCTAAATATGGTAGGGAGCAAGAAGTGCCATTACCATTTATCGAATCCTGCCATTATTAATTTCCTCGGTCGCGTTTTTCACTCGCGCTTCTACACCAAATTTCCATCAAGAGCCGAAACCCTGGCTCAGCGACGGACTGTGAAGAACATCCTACACACACTCTCCCATCTCATCAACGAATCAAGTTTGGGCGTTGAAATCTTGCGGAAGAATGTGGTGCCCATTTTTTCTGGTCTCCACAACACAAGCAGTGCCGGAGATTTTGAGCGTGATATATCATTTCTCAGCCGGAAGCTGAACGAGAGTCTGGGCCAGAGGAACCATCGCGATGGGGGCGAGAATTCGCCAGAGGAAGCCCCATTAGTGCTGAATTCATCGACAGTGTATCACTGTCGCAAATACGAGAGCTTTGTATAGTGAGACGTTTAGAATAGTCTCTGTACATAAACATATTTCATTTAGATGGAAATAAAATGCTATTGCGCCAATATTGATATTTTTACCACTTGATTGGGTTACAAATTAAACATTCTCGCTTTCCCAATGATTGCCACCCTTTCCGTCCCATTTTCATCACACCATTAATCAAATAGCCAATTGAGGGTGTCATTCAGATTCAATTAACTTTTATGCACCCGACAATAGACGCCTCTCACTGTTAATAATTGCAGTTTATGTGGAATTACCTCCTGCGATGAAAGAGTTTTGTATTAATTTTTTTCAGTTTAACGAGACAATGGAAAAACTGCATGGAACTTTCAATAAAGCGCATTCAAGGAGCTTTACTGGGAACACGTAAATTAATAAAAGAGAAGTTTGTTTGTTGATCATAATTAATGATTGCGCTTCTTGCGCTCGAAGAAGTCGAAGAATAGAGCTTAAGGATAAAATTCCAGTGCAATATTATGGATAAAGGAGAATAACATAATGCATATTCTACGATTTGAAATGCGCAGAAGAGACATTAATTGCTTGCATGAATTATAACATTTTTCAAGCTAAATTGTAATTTAAAGCTTTTCATTACGATTTGTTCAGTCTGTATAACGATTTTTACGCATGGATGGTTGTTTTACGAACTAAAATAAATAAATATTCTTTCTGAATCAGTAATTATTCCATGGATCTCTTTCATTGGGGGTATAAAATAAAATTTTTCACATTCCCCTCTCGACTGCTAGAAAACTTTTCAATACTGTGTCTCTGCTAAAATAGGGGAAATTTTGGCCATTGAAAACTATCGACACTCGGAAAAGCTTCATTGATAAATCACATTGGCTCTACATTATTATGTGTTTTTCATTTGATTATTTTATTTGTAATAAAAAATTAAATTGAACATGAAATTTCCAATTCATTACTCTCATTGAATATATCAATTGGCCACATGCACATTTGAATTAAATTACATGATTTAATAGATATTTATTGAATGCAATTGACAAAATTTTTTTATGCGAAACAACATCGTTTATCTTATTTCAACAACATTTTGCACATTATTTCCAGTGATTAATTACTGTGCCAAAATGAGCTTCGGAGACTCTTTAAGAGTGGTGAATGGGCGATGAAGCAGCATTTTAGATGAGAGCTTCTTGAAATTCCATGTGCAAAGTAATTAGCAGCCGAAAAGCTTTCCAACATAAGCCAATTGTTCTAAAGATGTTTTCTTGCTGTACGCCTCTGAATTCTATATTGATATTTTTTGCTCACTTTTCTCTCTTCGACGCAAGAGATGAGCAACACAATGCAGATAGTAATTTCCTTTATACTCCATTGGAGAATAAGCAAATAAATCTTTAACCTATGACGTGAGTATTTAATGAGTTGAGAATAAGTGTGTTAATTAGTAAAGTCTTTTAGAGTTTCCCGTAAAAGTTTGCTCATCGTGCTCATAATTCAATAAACTACAAAGTTTCCCCATTTTCTCTTCCAAGTTTAGACGGAAACTCCCCAAATATTACTTCTTTTCCCCACCATTGCCTATCCACAGTGCGTCCCTCGCATAAATAACTATTTAAGCGATGTTGTTTAAGGTTAAAAATATCAGCAAACGACCAGAACATGTGGGTCTACCAAATATAAAAGCTCACACACTCGGGATGAGGATTATTAGGCCAATGAAATTCCCAAATTTACGACCACTTCATTTCAACATTTTCACTGCCAGTGCCTTTAAAGTTTCCCCATTTTCCACGAATTGTTTTTTGTTCCGTATGAGAAAATTAAAGTTGTTTTTCCTTAGGTAGCATTTAAAAGTTCACATCAACGTGGGAGTAAAATTCTCATGAGGAAAAGAGAGAAAAGACCATCAATAGACGCAATCGCACGACCAAACGATGATTACCTTAAATGGCATTTCTTCCATTTGAGTTATCGTGAATCTATCACCCACGCGTCTCTTTCCAAGTATTTCCTGGAAAATGTGTCGCAATTGATATGTCAAAGGCCTCTGGAGTAATTGGCAAAACAGATTGAATATCTCACAGACAAATACAATTGTTTCTCCTTACCTAGATAAAAAATATTGACATAGAAAATAATAACAAATAAATCAATCATTTGTGGATTATTAAATTTTCAATAGAAATTTGTAATAATATTGTTATATTTCAACTCTGAACTACATAAAATGAAATGTGGGCAAAAATGATCGCATTTGAAGATGACGATATTTTGAATTATTGCCATGATAAATTATCTGCGCCGCACACAAATTGAAAACAGCATGGCAAAGCCATAATAAATTAGGGCCAGATATTTACCAATATGAAATCACTAAAATTCCCCGTCCTGAAAATTAATTAGAAATTAATTATCGATTATCGCTTTTGTGTCTCCTTCACGCTTCAACGGCTGCCTTTATTGGCAGCATAACTTAATTAATAGTTTAATTGTGCCACAATCATGATAGTATAAATTGTAGTAAAAAAAAGCTGCAGCAGATTCTCGTCTGAAAAGTATAGTTTTTATTAAATTTGTAACTCTTTTATCAACTTTTCAGACTACGTATGTTCAGAGCACAGTCTTCTGATGCGAAGATATAAATGATATGCAGAAAAATCTCATATGCAAGCAAGACAAGCAAGACTGAGACCCAAAACTTTTGTAATACGTAGTATGTAAATAAGGGATACAATTGAAACACAAAAGCTTTGGCTTGAAAGAATACTTCAAAAAGCTCCTGAAAGTTAAAGAACTGTGAAATAAAACGCTATGTATAAGACTTAAATGCAGATGTAAGAAAGGTAAATATAACTTCTGCCATTCTATGGTGTGATTTTTGTTACTACATACAAATTTCTTCTATGCACACATCTTGTGCGAAACTATTTCACTTTTTTCACTCCATATCTGCCTTGATGTCTATAGACACACACGAATGTATGTATTTCAAAATGAATTTCTCGTTCTTTCTACATTTGTACGTTACTTAAAAGAAGATTTCATGAAAAGTGTGAGGAAGGAAATCTCTGTTTTGTGAAAAGATGGCCATTTAGATGAAAAAGAATTCCAAAAGTAAGCACTTCTATAGAATGCCCCAAGTCTCAATCTGAAGTCTATGTGCAATGCTTGCTCTGGGATTTATTACTCAACTCACTGTCAGAATGCCGAATTCCTATTCTTCGATAGATACAAAAGTAACAATGAATGCAGCATTTTGCGAGTTATTCCATGAATTTTTGAAATCTTCTTCACTCCTGAAATTCACCCTTTCATAAAACACTTTTGTGGATTTCAATTTTAACATCGTCGTTTTGGAAGATAAATGTGAAAATTCGACAACCAGTTGCAATTTGAAATATTCTTGAATGCTCTTTTCTGTTCACATTGCATTGAATAACATTGCACAAATGAAGGGAAATTGACATCATAATCAGCATTTATAGATGCTTAAAGTTTCCTGGAAAAGAAGGTCATCATATGTTTCATGATATGTTTCAAAGAGTTTCAGATTGTATTGTATTTTTGTTAATTAATCGGCAGATGCGATGAAAGGGAAAAAATAATGTTCCTGTTGTCACAGTGAGCTTTTGTGATTATGTCCCAATTTAAGTCCTTCAGTCAGCGACAAATTGAGCTTTACTTTCATTACAGCAATCAAACGATAAGTGCTAAAAATCTCGTAACTCACACAATCTGTGCGCCATATGGAATCATTTTCATTTTGCCAAAGTGCATCTATCAATTTTAATAATAGCCTGCGAACGTTAAATTACACACATGTATATAGTTGGTGTATAATTAATGGATTTCATATAGCTTTCGTCGTTGAATTCTCGCAATACGCTTTAATTGCCATTACGATTTTGAGAGTACATATGTATTTTCAGTACGTGGAAGTGAGTGCTAATTGGCCACATGCCTTTCGCCTGGAGACAATTTCACAAAATCAATAGCAAGGCCGAGTCGAGGCACGAGAAAATTCAGCTAAGAACCTTCATTGGCATTTCTTGTACTGATGCTTTGACGTCCGCAGTGGCACGTGCGCGAGCCAATAGATCTGAAATGATCAAACACTGAGCAGTTCATTGAGAAGGATGTTGGCTGATTTAAGTGAACCCATCCCATATAAAAAGCACAAAATTAGACAATCTAATTCTGTACCGAGAATTAATAAATAAAATCAAACCGCGAAAAGAATGTTGTGCTCAAGTTGAGGCGAAACCGCAACAGATTAAAAAGAGCTGTAAACAGTCTATAAATTGTACGTCTAATAGCTGTATACTTCAATATCTTATAAAAAAAATTACGCTTCTCACTTTGAACTTAATTTCCTGGATGGATAAATTGTTTGCTAAACAAATTTGGAGGATCGTTGAGCAGCATAAAAGTTTCAGTAATTGAGCGCCAGTGCTGCTTGTCAGGTGAGCTCGGTAATTAATCATCTTCAAGTGAAAATCCTCGGCTCGATTTGCGTAAGTAAGTTGGATGATGAATTCCATCTCCAGGAAATGTGAATCTCAATGACTCAAGTGCTGCACGAGTGTCCAGAATGCTTCTTTGAAATTGAATATGGGAACCGAAGCATTTGCCTAATGCGATGCAAAGAACCATCAATGTGGGAAAAGGGACTCAACTAACTTTTGCCCTGTGCCGCTTCTCATGTTGCTCTATGTTGTGATGGTATTTGCAAAATAGAAGAATTTTCCCATATCGTATGAATATCTTCAATGCCAAAAAGCTTCTTAAGCGTCGTATTTTGCATCAAAGTCACATCAAATAAACTTTTCGTGCAGATGAAACTAATAATTGAACCTCCGAACTCGGAATATTGCCAGAGAACCTTCAGCAAATCCTTATGCTTATGTCGATGTAAAGCCCTGAAAAGTGGGTGCACATGTGCGACTCTTCCCATCGTTTATCTCAACGTTACCCCCAAAAATGGCCTATTTTAATACCCTAGTCCCTCCCAGACATAACATCCTTCAATATATGCTCGGCCTGAGGATGAGTATTTGTGGAAATTATCCACGGATTG